AATTTACAGATCTCTACAACATATGGATGGTACATGTCTACAATCTGAGATAGGATGATCAAGAAGGTCAGCCTCAATTATATAGTGAATTCAAGGACTGCCACAACTACCTGAGACCCTGTATCAAAAACCCAAATAAACTGGGTGTTGGTGGCCCACTTTAATTCCAGCACTGGGGAAGCAGAGGCAGGTGGATCTCTGTGAGTTCCAGACCAGCCCGGGCTATGAGAGCTAGTTCCAGGACAGCCTCCAAAGCCACAGAGAAACCCTGTCTCAAAAACAAACAAACAAAACAAAAAAGCAAATTTCTTCCAGCTAATCCTGCTACTAAACTATTGTGGAATATTTTGATCACTCTGCGACACTTTAGACTATCAATAAAATTTACCTTGAATAAAGGGGTGGAGCCAGTGACTAGCTGACTGGAATTAGTCATAGAAAAGTCAGCAATTTGGATAGAAAAGACATACAGGAAAGAAAGGGCAAGGGCAAGAGTTTAAGCTTCCTTTTGGTTCTCGGACAGGTCTCGGACAGGTTGCTTGTTGGCTTCTCAGATCTAGCAGGTTTTCACTCCCACATCTGTCTATCTAAAATATATCTCTGTATGTCCTAGAAAACATACCTAACATGGCCACAAATTTGATTGTTAGATAACTACTAATCTGTATTTCTTAATTATTCTAAATGGTTTGTAACAATAATTTTCAAGGACTAGAATTTTACTTTACATAGCCAAATGGACTGCATAGGTACAATACCTTAAACAAAAGTAGAATCATATGTATGTGTATTAAAAAATAACCTTAAATTTATATATATCAATATACAAAAATATCCTAAACAAGAGTAGAAACATATAATTTTCTAACAAAATAACCTTAAATTTATATCAGTATACTGAAATCTATACCAATGTAAAATATTTGAGATTAATACTTGCTTTTTAGTTTAAAGTAGATTTAATAATTTACCATTTTATCCTATCATTCCTATATCCCCCTTTTTCCTTTTCAGAAAGAGACCCTTGAATTTAACCTCCTTTACTTAGTTTCCTCCCTTACCATGACCAGTAACAATTTGCAACAGCCCTGCTAAATGACAAACATCCATAACCCACCAAGAAAACAAAAACACCCACCCCACCTCATGGGAATGTGGGTGTCATTTCTTAACATTACTTCCTGTTGACTGTGGGTGACAGTATCTTTAGGAAACACTGAGAAAACGGAGATAATGGTCAAGTCTTGGGAGAGCCTGTTGTATTATATTTTGTTTAGTCTGTGTGATGGGAAAGTATAGCGCTTATCTTAAATCTTGGCTGGGTAGTCTGTGAGGCTAGCGTCCTTGAAGTTATTTTGGATGCAGAATTTCAAGAAAACTCTAACAGTGTCAATCTGCGAGGAGGGATCACCTGGGCTACTTGTCTTTATTGGTGTCTGTAGCAGGCTTTCTTTGACCACCAGCCCTCAAATCATGACACAGAGTCATATTAGTAATTATGAATGCCCAGCCTTAGCCTAGGCTTGTTTCTAGCTAGTTCTTTTTTTTTAAACATTTATTTATTTATTATGTATACAGCATATGTTTGTATGCCCACAGGCCAGAAGAGGGCACCAGATCTCATTACAGATGGTTGAGAGCCACCATGTGGTTGCTGGGAATTGAACTCAGAACCTTTGGAAGAGCAGGTGTGCTCTTATCCTTTGAGCCATCTCTCTAACCCTTAGCTAGTTCTTTTTAAACTTAAGTCAACCCATTCTATTCATCTAGGTGCTGCCCTGAGGCTCGTTTACCTCATCTACACCCTGCCCATCCTGCTTTCCTGTTTCCTTCAAGTCTGTCTGACTGGCCCCCAGCTGGCAGGCTGGTGGGCTCCACTTTTCTCTCTGCCTGCCAGCCCTGTCTATCCCTCCTGTGCCTAACTACTGGCTGTTCAGCTTTTTATTATTTCAATCAGGTGCCTTAAGTGGACAAGGAAAGCAGCAACACATCTTTACATCATTAAACAATTATTCTGCAACACAAACAAATACAAAACTTCTTTACTTAGTTAAAGAAATATTCTATTTCACAACAGGTGTCTGGTCCTTTTTTTCAAGGTAGCATATATGTATATATATTATATATATGTAGTAACACATGTATGGAATGTGTGGTGTACACAAGTCAGCTAAAGATGATTTTTTTGTTTTATGTATGAGCAGGTAAAAGGCATCAGTTAACTTTATAAGTCTGTATTGCCAAACCTCTATCCATGTCACATGAAAGGATGGCATGTAATAATAAGTCATGAGGACTCTGTAGCCAACAAGATTTATCACGTCTCATTCAGTCTCAGAGGTGCTCCCATGTCGAGGAATCAGCATATACATCACCTGTCTCGTAGTCTTTCTTGGGTTTTTTTCCTTTATGTCTGTAGCCAGGATTTTCAGGTCTCCCATCGGAACCAGGCAACCTGTCAAACACGCCTGAAAAGGGGAGTGAGGATTGAGAAAGAAAGAGACAAAAGACAGAAGACAGAGTCGGGAGGGCTCTCAGTGAATACTGCAGACGCCCCAAGTTTATTACTCATAGCCTTTATATAACCCAAGCAAAAGGGGAGGACAAAAGACTTCCTTACCATGATACAAGGAACAAACACAATTGCCTCCTTAATACTCAAAACACCTAATAGTCATGTTCTAAGTCAAACATGATGTTATTTGGCCTTCAGGAAGAAGAATAAACTTGAACTCTCTGACCATCTGATCTTCATTAATTTCGAAGGAATCCACAGCTTTCATTTCCTATGGAAAAATCTCTCCCCCAACACAATGTATTTTCTGACTTCCATTCTTAAAGTGTATAGGTTGATTTAATTTAGTGGTTGTCATAGTTCAATGTCTCTCAGAAGCTATTGCTTTTTGTTCATTAGCATTTTAAAAAATTCAAAATCACCCTACGGGATCCAGGTGCCCTTTGTATTTCCCATCCTTACATGACTTATTCTTTTTATATTACCTTACTCTTTATTTTATTTCTTGTTTTCTCAAGACAGGGTTTCACTGTGCAGCAATGGTTGTCCTGGAACTCACTCTGTAGACCAGGCTGGCTTTGAATTCACAGAGATCTGCCTGCCTCTGCCTCCCAAGCACTGGGATTAAAGGCATGGGCCACCACTGCCAGCTCTTTCTTTAAAGACTTCCCTTTATTATTTTTAAAATGTTTTTTCTATGTCTGTTTATACCCATTTTCTCAGTTTGGGCTGCTTTACTGTGGACTTGAAGCCTTTTCTGACCACATGAACCAAGCCTTAAACCTGCTGCATGGCTCTGTACACCGCAGCCCACAGGAGAGAATGGAGGACTAAGAAGCTGTGTTTGGCTCTGCGTTTGTGCGTTTGAAACCTTTTTTTTTTTAAAGCTTTTCCAGGTCTTATGTGGAAATATGTGTCCCCACATTGGATGTCATATATAGTTGGATTTTTCTTTGGACTGCCAGCTCACAAATGACATGACACAGAGACATTAATTATGAAAGTTTGGCCTAGGTTTGTTCCTAACTAGCTCTTATAACTTCAATTAGCTCATTTACAGTAAACTATGTTCTATCACATGGCATTACCTCTCTATTGTGGAATATTTATATGCTACATAAAAATATATTGCTATGATTGGTATAAGAAGAAGATAAATGGCCAGTAGCTGGGCAGAAGAGATAGGCCGGACTTCCAGGAAAAGGTGAGGAACTCAGGATGAATCTAGGCACTCAGGGAGATGCCAAATGAAACACAGAGGTATTAGGACATACAGAATGAAAGAAAGGTAAAAAGCCACAAGGCCAAACATAGATCCATAGAAACTGGTTAATTTAAGTTACAAGGCCCAGTTAGAAACAAGCCTAAGCTATAGGCCAAGCAGTCATAATTAATAAGTCTCTGTATCATTATTTAGGCTGGCTGGTGGAAAAGAGAACGACTTGTTACACCTCTCTTCCATCTTGCACCTTCTGTTTCCGTTCTGAGTCTCCTAGTGTCTCCTGTGTGCCTAGATTCCCTTTCTTTTCTCTCCCCAGAAATCCTGCCTACATCTCCTGCCTAGCTATTGGCCATTCAGCTTTTTCTGCTTCAGAAATGTAACTGTGTAGATTACTCCTTCCCAATGGGCTGTGCTGGGATACTAGTCAAGCATCCTTACCAGAGGCCAGCTGGAATTAGGACTTGCTAACATCCAGAGAACAAATCCATTAAGTTCATACTGAGGATCCTCACCTACTATGCTGAGGTCATACCACAGGAACAGAGCAAGAATGGGAAAAGCATTCCTCAGAGAACCAAAGCCCAGTAGTGGGATGTAGGAAAGTCTCAAGGAAAGGTCTAGTGCTCCAGGGATGGCTTGCAGATCAGTGTTCCACTGAAGAGTCTTAGGTCTCCACAAACCCACAGCCTACCATTCCGGTCACACTTTTGAGGAAAAGGATGCTGTCAGATCTTTCTGGAGTGGGCAGGGGTAGATGTGAGTTACCACAGGGGTGACCTATGGAGTAGGAGTGCTGGCCTGGCCTCGAACTAGGGAGCTAGGACCAGCTAGCACAGCCTTCTTCGCGGAGCCTGTCGCCCTGTTCTCGGACAGGGAGTTCTGCTTCCAACCTACCCTTCGTCAAAGTCCCCTGAGCCATTTGCTGCGCCTAGTATAAGGCTTAGTTGCAAGGTTCTAATGCCGCCAAAGCGCCCGCAGAGCAAACTTCGAAGGTTGGTGCTGCAAACATGCAAGACTAACTGCAGGAAGTCCTGAGCTCAGCGAGAAACCACACGCAGCTCATCCCTCAAGGAGGAGCCTAGGCGAACGCTTGTAGTCCGGGGAGGAAAGCCACCAGGGTGCAGGCTGGGACTGCTAGTCGGTGAGCTAGCCGCCCGATGCACACTGGGATTGGTAGTCTGTGGCGCAGGCTCTCCCCTCACCTAGCCGGCGGGTGCCTCGGGGCCAATGGGAGCGGCGCCGGCCCGGCCAGCCCCGCCCCGCGCCTCCGCACGTCTGTGCCGGGATATGGCCGCTGCCGGTACTGGGTCCTTGAGCTGAGCGCCGGCTGCGGAAGATAACCGCCGTCGTCAACCGACCGCACGGGCCGGGCCCAGGCGCCGGGACGGCGAAGAGCCGCCCAGGAAGCGGAGGCCGCCGTAGGACGCCGCCGCGGCGGGCGCATGGCATCCATCTTGCTCAGGAGCTGCCGCGGCCGGGGCCCTGCCGGCCTCGCGCCGCCCCGCGCCACCTCCCCGCAGGGTAAGCGGCCGCCTAGCACCAGACCTGTTGTGGGTGGCGCGGGACACTCACCCACCCCATGCCCCGAGGCAGCGTGGTGATGACAAGCATCCGGAGGCTCCATGCCGCCCGGGCTGGGCAGCTTCGCTGTGACCTTAGTTGCTCCGGTCGCTGCAGGTCACCGCTACCGACGGAGGCGTCGGGAAAGTTCCTTAGGGCTGTGGCTGCCCTGGCGCTCCCCTTGACGATGAACCGAACCCAGGCGTGCCCTTTGGCCAGCTCAGACCTGGAAGCCGGAACTCCGGCACAAGGAGATTGGGTTTTGGGTGATACCAGCACAGGGGACCGCTCCCTGGGGTGGGGTGGCCGCTGACTATGTTTTCTAAGGAAACTTGTATGTGTCCTGTTTGTAAGTTACGTTAAGGATGAAACTTGATCTTTGAGAGTTGGACCTAAGACTTTTGGGTTTACTCTCAGAAGCATAGTTCTCGACACCTTAACAGTATTGGGAGCGAGGTGTGGTGGTACACGCCCAGCACTCAGGAGGAAGAGGCAGGCGGATCTCTGAGTTCTGGGCAAGCCTGGTCTGTATTTCGAATTTTAGGCCGGGCTACACACAATAAAAAAAAAAACAACAGCAACAAAACCAGTTATGATCAGTGGGAAGATAGCAAAGTATACGTGGGTTTGGTGCGGTTTTTCAAGCTGCCTCTGTCATAAGAGCAGTCTATCTGTTAACTTGTTCAGGATGCTGTAAAGCACTTTGCTTTCTTATTTCTGTGACTTAAAAATTAGCTAGTATTTGTGTGTGTGTGTGTGTGTGTTCTTATTATTCTAGGCATAAGGTTGTTTTCTGTAGTTAATAAGTGCCCTTTGGACAAAAATACTGCTTCCCTGACAGTGGGTTAGTAAGCTGGTTAGCTATGAAACCAACAGGGCAGGACTGGGTAGTATCACTCACTGGAATGATGTACTGGCAGAGGCAATAGGATGAACATCCTAAGTTTTTAGTCATAGTGAATAAATTGAAGCCAAAATTGCACCAAAATCCTCTTTACTTTTTGTTGTTGTTGTTTGTTTTTGTTTTTTGAGACAGGGTTTCTCTGTGTAGCTTTGGAGGCTGTCCTGCTATTCACTCTGTAGACCAGTCTGGCCTTGAACTCACAGAGATCTGTTTGCCTCTGTCTCCCCAGTGCTGGGATTAAAGGCATCGCTACCACTGCCTGGCTTTCTCTTTATTTTTGAATACCTACCTTATTCTGTGCTTTTGTGTGACATACTCTTTCTGTTTCTTCTGAGACACCACATTACATTAGTCCTTGTGAGTCTTCAAATTGTAACCGTTTATCAGGTTTTCTTTGATTTCCATGACCTTGTTTGTTTGTTTTGTTTTGTTTTTCAAGACAGGTTTCTCTGTGGCTTTTGGAGCCTGTCCTGGAACTCACTCTTGTAGACCAGGCTGGCCTCAGACTCACAGAGATCTGCCTGCTTCTGCCTCCTGAGTGCTGGTTTTAAAGGTGTGCACCACCAGCGCCCGGCTGACCTTGACATTTTATGAGTGCTTAGATCAGGTGTGTTGTAGGATGTCTCTTGGTGTTTTGCTGATGAGTTCTGGGGGGAAGGACACAGATACTAAGTGCCTTTCTCATCACATGCTGCCAAGGCTCTGCAGTTAAGGTAAACTCATCATTGTTGATGTTGACCTGGTTCCCTGACTGAAGTGTGTTTGTCAGGTTTCTACTTGGAGTTTCTTTCCTTCCTTCCTTTTGTTTTTCTTTTCTTTTCTTACAGTTTCAGAGGTTTAGTCCATTGTCATCGTGACAGGACATGCCAGCATGCAGGCAGACATGGTGCTGGAGAGATAGCTGAGAGTTCTCCATCTTGATCTGCAGGCAGCAGGTTACCCTGTGCCTTTCTATGCTGATCTCTGTGAGAAGAAGTCACTTGGTGTAGAAGTGGGGCTAGCAGATCCTAGAGTGTGTGAAAAAGAAGCATCCAGTCCCTGGTGAAATTGTGTCAAGGCTCAGGAAAACAAAAGGAGACTGGATTGGAGTGGGACAAGCAGCTGTTGACAGCTGCAAGGTGCACCAGACCTGGAGGCTTTTCATGAAGGTCAGGGAGGACATCGCCCGGAAAGCTAGAAAAGTCTCCTGAGACCAGGTGAAACACGGAAAGACATTTGGTCTTTACCCCATTCCTGACACTGAACTCCTAAAGCTTTTGGAGTAATAGACAGCAATGAATTTGTTCCTCTTTTTTTTTTTTTTTTTTTTTTTTTTTGTCTCCTGAGACAGGGTTTCTCTAAGTAGTCCTTTGCTGCCCTGGAATTCACTCTGTAGACCAGGCTGGTCTCAAACTCAGAGATCTGATTGCCACTGCCTTTGCCTGTGAGTTCTGGGATTAAAGGTACCGGGCTGAATTTGTTACTGAAGGGAAGTGGCGAGTAGGCCTAGGCAGATGAGGAGAGGCCTACTGTAATGAGATTAGAGGTGGAGAATGTAGAGTGGCCGTGGGCCAGAGGAAAGAATACCACAGAAAGACCCTGGGTTGCTCAGGACTCTCCTGGTCACGTCCATGTCTCCTCCAGCTACTCAATTGTATCCTTTGTGGTAAACTGTGACAATGACTAGAACACTGTGCTGGGTTCTTTTTTTTTTTTTTTTTGGTTTTACGAGACAGGGTTTCTCTGTTTTGGAGGCTGTCGGTCCAGCCTGGCCTCGAACTCGCAGAGATCCGCCTGCCTCTGCCTCCCGAGTGCTGGGATTAAAGGCGTGCGCCACCAACGCCCGGCCTTGTGCTGGGTTCTGTGAGTTGTTCTGGTAAATTATAAAAACCAAGAGGGTCTTGAGAGATGGCTCAGTGGTTAAGAGCACTGACTACTTTTCCAGAGAACCTGGGTTCAGTTTCCCAACACCCACATGGCAGCTCACAGCTGTCTATACCTCCAAGATCTGACACTTTCACATATATGCAGGCATAATACCAATGCACATAAAATTTAAAAAAGAACTTTTATTCTAGATTTTAAATTTTTATGTGTGTCTGTATGGGTATGCATACTATATGGGTGCAGGTGCCCATGGAGACTTGAAGAACCCATAGAACTGGAGTTACAGGCAATTATGAGCCAGCCAATATGAGTATTAGGAACTGAACTCAAGTCTTCTGCAAGAGAAGCAAGTGCTTTTAACTGCTGGGCTATCTCTTGACCAAACCCCAAATTTACAGACAGCAGAAATGCAGGCAGCCTAGGTAGCTGTAATGGAATATGGACCTGTGAGCCTATCACCCTGAATGACTTTAACAGTGGAGCAGGAGCAGCCCGCCGATGTTATTTGGGGGAGAACCCAGGAAGGGAGCTGGTAGAGTGGAAACAACAGAGTAAGATCTGCCCAGGCTGTCTTCTGGGTCCAAAGGAGTGTTTCTGAGCCAAATCCTATAGAAGTAGGATTGGAAGAGACAGAAGGGAAGTTCTGGGCCTCTTTGGATTAAGCAGTCTGGAAAGGTTTGGGTGGCCTGGTCTGTGCTTAAAATGTAACAGTTGTTGCTGTAAGAAAGTAGCCGAAGGCCAGCTAGATGGCTCAGGTTCTTGTTTTCTGGCCTGAGTTCCAACCCCAGGACCCACATGGTTGAAGGAAAGAAACAAAGCTTACAAGTTGTCTCTGACCTCTGAATGGGTGCACATACAATAAATAAATGCAAAAATAAAATTTAAAAACAGATGACTTTATAAAAACAATGTAGCCAATATCTTTGTTATGAATTGTGAATAGTGTCGAAGGAACTAGAATTTTCCAGGTTCTACCAGACACTAAATGTGACCTCTTTCCCCATAGAATCAGAAGAGGTCCCTCCTGACATAAAATGGTAAATGGATGCAGCTACTGCTACTCCCACTGCTTGGGGGACTGGCCTACTGTCTTGCTGGCCCTTGCTATTGCCTGACCTCTGCATGGGCCACCTGGCCCTGCTGAGAATGGTGCTTCTGGTTCCCACTGTGTAGAGAGCCTGTTCTTCCTGCTTCACACAACAGTGGTATGAATGAACTCTCAATGTGTTAGAAGAATTAGAGTGGATTAGGGAACACATCCTAAGTGTGTTCTATTGCTCATCACTACTATTTTTCCATACATGGCTTCTTTTTTTTTTAAAAAGATTTATTTATTTATTATGACTACAACATCCTGCCTCCATGTACGACTACACATCAGAAGAGGGCACAAGATCTCATTATGGATGGTTGTGAGCCACCATGTGGTTGCTGGGAATTGAACTCAGGACCTCTTGGAAGAGCAGTCAGTGCTCTTAACCTCTGAGCCATCTCCCCAGCCCCATACATGGCTTCTTTTACTAATTTGTTTTGCTAGGCAGTGATGACACACATCTTATGCCAGCACTCGGAAGACAGAAGCAGGCAGATCTGCAGAGCCAGTTCCAGGACAGCTGGGCTACACAAAGAAACTCTGCTTCAAAAGACAAAACAATAAATCAATAAATTTTTTATTTAATTACATTTATTGTGTGTGTGTGCCACAGCATGCTTATGGAGGTCACAAGGCAACTTACTGGGAGTTATTTCTCCTATCATGAGGGCCCTGGGATTAAACTCAGGTCTTAGTGGCAAGTGCTTGCCATCTTGCCGGCCCTGTAGGGGCTTGGCATTCGTTTTCCCAGTATTTCTTGTCCCTTGGAATTGTTTGGTCTGTAGGGCTGGCTGTTTGCTAGGAATCAGCGTGCCCTTCCCCTGCCCACCTTCACCAACTATAGCTCATTGGGATGGGTCCCACATTGGGAGAAGCCCACAGGCCTCCAGTGCTCCTTCTCTGGGGCTTAGCCTGAGACCCAGTTTCCACCATGCTCTGACACCCTCCAGCATGTACAGCAGTTCTCCAGAAACTTACTGGTAGGGGTTCCATTCAGACCTTCAAAAATGCCTGGTTGACACTTGTTTGCTTACTTGTCTTTATTTCTGTCGTAGGTAGTCTGAGAGATCGAGCTTGTCTCAGTTGTACCAGGACCTTGGGGTTGATAAGCCATGAGTAAGTAAGCCCATCACTGAATGTGTCACTGTGCATGTCTGCTTGAGGGTGTTCACCTGGATTTTCACTTTCCCGGGAACTGACAGCTTCTTCTTTATCCCTTGTTTCTGTTTCTTTTAAATCTTCATCTGTTTACTTTAATGGCTATAGCCATATAATGTTGGTGAATTCTGAGAGAATAAATACCCATAATCCTAATACCCAGTTATGTATACTGCTGGCATTTTGGTATACTTCCATTTTGGTGGTTGTTTTTGTCTGGTTAATTTGAGTTTTGGTTTTTGTTTTGTGAGACAGGTTCTCCATATATAGGATATGTAGCTCTTGTGAGACAGGTTCTCCATATATAGGATATGTAGCTCAGACTGGCCTTGAATTTTTGATGACCCTATTGCTTATCCTTCTAGTTAGTGGAATTACACGTGTGCTCCAACATGCCCAGCCTGACATTTTTACTTATATATCTAGTTTTGGTATAGTTGTTATCACTATAGTTCTGTCTACCTTTTATGACTAGTCTTCCCATGTTCACACAGCTGTCCTCTTTAATGGCTTTCTGTAGAACCTTGCCTAATTCTTTTCAGCTGTTGTGGCAGTATTAGGAGTGTTGGGATCTGTCCATGACAAGGCAGACCCTCCCTTGAATACCTTATCATGGTCTTTCAAGAGTACCTGTAGCTAGTCTTTCTCTGTCCCACCAGCCGGCTTCCAAATCATGACATGGAGACTTACTAATTATGAAAGCTTAGCCAATAGTTTAGGCTTGCTTCTAACTAGCTCTTATAACTTAAATTAGCCCATATCTTTTTTTTTTTTTTTGGTTTTTCGAGACAGGGTTTCTCTGTGGCTTTGGAGGCTGTCCTGGAACTCGCTCTGTAGTCCAGGCTGGCCTCGAACTCACAGAGATCCACCTGCCTCTGCCTCCCGAGTGCTGGGATTAAAGGCGTGCGCCACCACCACCCGGCTTAGCCCATATCTTTTAATCTGTGTGTGTGTGTGTGTGGCTTTGTTACCTTTACTTTGGAATGTCCATGCTGCTTGCTCTAGCATCTCCTGTCTTCTTCCCAGCATCTTCTCTGCCCTGAAAATCCTGCCTAGCTATTGGCCATTCAGTTCTTTACTAAACCAATCTGAGTGACACATCTTTTTTTTTTTTTTTTTTTTTTGGTTTTTTTACGAGACAGGGTTTCTCTGTATTGTTTTGGAGGCTATCGGTCCAGCCTGGCCTCACAGAGATCCACCTGCCTCTGCCTCCCGAGTGCTGGGACTAAAGGCGTGCGCCACCACTGCCCAACAAGTGACACATCTTCACAGTGTACAAAAAGATTATTCCACAACAGGTATCTGCCTCAGGGATGCCCACAGTATGCCCCTGACCTCGCATAGTGCGTAAGGTGTATTTAGCCATTCCCTTTGGTACCTAAAGCCTACAAGGTGGCAGTGCCTGTGATGGTGGCAGCATCTCAGATGAGGCTTTTGGACTTGCCCCAGGGTTGCTGTTTTTCTTGTACTATGTCCTGCACCCCAAGTTTCTACCTCAGCCCTGTCTTAACTTAAGGACAGGGCCACGAGATACCCATGGCTGTCAACTCAGATCACTGAAAGGGGGTTCATCTTCTTCCTCTTCCATGTCCCTGTCACTTCCTCTGGGAGAGCAGGAAACCAGTGTTATCTTCTGTGCACTTCCTGCCTTTTCAGTTTCTCATTTCTGGAGGGTTTTGTGTCTACTTAAAGCTGTTAACTAATTACTCAGCTCTGAAACGTAACCAGCGGTGCTTCTTGTAACATTTAATTCCCTGAAGTAAAGACAAGTCATTTGTGAAGACTTGGTTTCTGTTAAAGCACATTGGGCTCGATGCCTTGTCAAATGCTGGGATAAACAGGACACAACAGCATTTCTGGGGCTGGATGGCTGCAGCATACCCATCGTTTGGTCAGATCCCCAAACAGCTGACTGAATGAGGCCTTGTGCGTGGTCTGACACCATGTGCCTGTTGGGTGAGATGCTCATTAGATTTCTCTTTGTCATGGAATCTTCTTTGTGCCAGCAATGGCATTAAAGTCTGTGTACAGAGCTTCTTTCACTCTTTTATAGTGTGTGTCTGTTTCTTTTTTTTTTTTTTTTTTTTTTTTTTTTTTGGTGTTTCGAGACAGGGTTTCTCTGTATTGTTTTGGAGGCTGTCCTGGAACTCACTCTGTAGACCAGGCTGGCCTCGAACTCACAGAGATCCACCTGCCTCTGCCTCCCGAGTGCTGGGATTAAAGGCATGCGTCAACAACGCCCGGCCGTGTTTCATTTTTTTTGAAACAGGATTTCTCTGTGTAACAGCTCTGGCTGTCATGGAACTCACTCTGTAGATTAAACTGGTCTCGAACTCACAGAGATCCACCTGCCTCTGCCTCCCGAGTGCTGGGATTAAGGGCGTGAGACACCACACCCCAGTTTACCTTCTTTCTCTCTTCCTGAAGTATGCTGGTGAGCTGTTGAGGCCCAATAGGCCCTGCTCTTGGAGCTCAGGAGGAATTAGAATGGGATTTGATGTAGAGTCTCTGGTTTTAAAAAACCAACACCAAATGAAGATTAGTGGGGTGCTCTGTAGAGGCCTGCTTCCCTATAAGGCCATGAAGGTGTGAGTTGTAGGGACTGTGATTTATGGCTGAATTGGCCTAGATGTTAATCCTTACTTCAGGGCAATATATGTAGCAAACACTGGGACCCAACATATGCCATTTTCCTTTCTACGTTCTCTAGGTGGCACTCATATAGGGACCAGTTTCCCACCCTTACTCCACTGAGATTTTCAGTGTCCTAGATGAACTTGTCAGTTCTCATAGTCTAAAACAACCCTTGTGGAGTTGTGACAGAAACACCATCAAATTATCAAACCACTTGAGATTAGCAGCTTTTTGTTTTGTTTTGTAGAGTTGGGAGTAGAACCTAAAGTCTTGGGTTTGCTAGATGAATACTCAACAAGTACATCCACAGTCCCAAGAGTTGCACCTTTTTTTTCCCCCTTTTCCCAGAAACAGGTTTTTCTGTATAGCCCTGGCTGTCCTGGAGCTCACTCTGTAGACCAGGATAGGTACTGAGTATTCTACTACACTTTATTTTCCTTCTTGTGTTGTCTAGTTCCTCAGCCAGGAAGCAAATATGGTCTAATGTGGTATAACCACAGGTCTCTAAGTAGAGAGTGTCTGCACTTCTGGAACTTCTCTCGATTTTGAAGGCTACTGCTCTGTTGTTCTTCCTTTCTGCTGAGAATGACTTGCTTCCTTGACAGCACTTTCCTGAAGAATAGGATGACTTCCCTGGTTGGTGTCCTTCCTGACAAGACCGCTCCTTTGGCTACTAGCTTGCTTCATGCCTTCTAGGAGCAACCTATGGTTGGAGGCTCTGGGGTACACTAAGGGAGTTGTCCTCTTGGGAGTGGCCTACAGGCATACTTCTGACATTTGTGTAATATTGATGAGAATTATAAACACTGACAGCTGAAGAGGTGTGTCCACCCCTGTAAATGGTAAATGATGATACCAAGAAAGGGGGGGGGTCAAAAGATACTTTATTAGAGACAGAGAGGTCACTTACATGAGAAGCTGAGAACTGAGCTCAGCGTTCTAGTCTCCAAACCTCAACCGGAATCCAAGAGAGCAAGCTCCCCTATCTTCCTCCCCTTTATCTCTGGCTTCTCCCACGCACCTGTGACCACACCCAACTGAGCGTGGTCGGTGCTGCAGGTACATGAGATCTCCCCTTCACACCCCATCTTGTGTATGTGTGTATTTCTGTTGGTCCATGTATCCCATTCCTATCCCATTCCTGTTCCGGCCTGTCCGATAGCTAAGAATATGTAGCTGATATGGTAAGGCTCATAGACACTTTTCTTTTGTAAGGTACTACTTAGTCTTCCTGCTCCAAACTTGAAGGCCAGACATTCAACTTGGCAGGACATAGGCTCAGGACCTTATATAGATGATCACCCTTGTTAAGATTCCTGGTTTCATAATGCAGGTAGATGGGTGCTGTATGCTTGTCAACCATCCTGGCAAGTGTATGCTTATAGAGATCAGAGGATAAACTGTGGAAGTCAGTACTCTCCTACCATGTGAATGCTAGGGATTAAACTAAGGTTGGCACCCTTACCCACTGAACCATCTTGCCAGCTCTAGCAGTGTGTTTCTTTTTGTTTGTTTGTTTGTTTTTGTTTTTTGAGACAGGGTTTCTCTGTGACTTTGGAGGCTGTCCTGGAACTAGCTCTTATAGACCAGGCTGGTCTCGAACTCACAGAGATCCACCTGCCTCTGCCTCCCGAGTGCTGGGATTAAAGGTGTGGGCCACCACTGCCCGGCTTAGCAGTATGTTTCTTGTTGAAATATTGTGTTTAGTTGGTGCTGTTTCACTCCATTTTGTAGGTGATTTTCTCAGAAGAGGAAAGAGAAAAACAAGAGGAAGTCAGGATATAGGGTGGTGGAAGCTAGGATCATAGTCTGGCCCTTTGGTTAGTGCTGGTGAGTACCAGCAGCACCAAGATTAGTTCTGTGTTTGTGGAAAATTTAAGAATGTTAGATAGCTGGGCCACACCTTTAGTCCCAACACTTGGGAGGCAGAAGTAGGTGGATCTCTGTGAGTTCGAGGCCAACCTGGTCTACGGAGCTAGTTCCAAATAGACTCCAATGCTACACAGAAAAACCCTGTCTTGAAAAACCAAAAAAAATTGCCTTTTATCCCAGCACTCTGGAGGCAGAGGCAGGCAGATTTCTGTGAGTTGAGACCAGCCTGGTCTACAGAGCAAGTTCCAGGACAGCCTCCAAAACAATACAGAGAAACCCTGTCTCAAAAAAACAAACAAAAAAAAATTAAAAATGAATGTTATATATTTGGGCAGGGTTGTAGCTTATTGGTCAGCACTTGGCCCTGGGTTCTACTCTTAGCACTGCCAAAAAATTTTTTTCCACTATTTGAAAATGGCAAAACATTAAATGTAAGTTGTTAGTAACAATGGTTAGTAATGTCTCTGATATCAGTGATAATAGCTCAGTGGGTAAAGGCCTCTGACACTACGCCTGTTGACCTGAGTTTGATCCCAGAGATCCACAAGATGGAAGGGAAGAATGGACTCCTACAAATTGTCCTCTGACCTATGAGGCCCTTGTACCTCACCCTCCCCCAACAACAACAAACTCTTTGATGAGTTAAGAAAAGGGAGACCAGGCTGGAGAGATGGCTCAGAGGTTAAGAGCACTGATTGCTCTTCCAGAGGTCCTGAATTCAATTCCCAGCAACCACATGGTGGCTCACAACCATCCGAAATGAGATCTGGTGCCCTCTTCTGATGTGTAGACATACATGGAGACAGGATGTTGTATTCATAATAAATAAATAAATCTTTAAGAAAAAGAAAAGAAAAGGAAGACCTTGGCTCAGCCCTTACCTAGATTACTGTGTTGGCTGCTTCATCTTTGTCTGTGTCTTTGTCGTGGTCTTTTGGCTGTCCTTGGCCTGCAGGCGTCAAACCTTCTGTGGAAGCCATGCCCTTCCTCAGTGAGGATGGGAAATGGATGTTTAAGCCTGGTGATACACTTGTTCCATATGCAGAACTGTCTTCTGTACTTTAAGGTGAGGCCAAGGTAAGAAGGCAGAAAGTAGGGCCTGCATCCCTCTGCTGGTAAGCAGTTGAATGGTACTCTGAATCTGGTTGTGCTGTCTTGTTCCTTATGGTTCAGGACAGAATGGATCAAAGGCCTCTTCACAACTCCAAGGTTTCAGAGCCAAGAAAATCAGAGGTGTGGTAGTATGGATTGGAAAGAGATTGACAGCATTTTACAAGAGCCCGAGGGAGATAGATGAAGAGGGTTGGCTGGCATACATACTCACAGACACACCATCTCACTGTTTTCACTGGTCCACAGACATGTTCATAGCACTCTTCTCTGATATCACTGCTTAATGAAAGGTCAGTGTGAGCTTGTGATCTGTGACAGAGGATAGATTTGGAGTTTGGAGAATGCTGTAAGCAGTGATAGCACCAGAGCTGAGCCTAGCAGCTAGAGCCTTGGAGTCCCATGCCCTGATTCTTTGTGGGCTTATAGTGCTCTGTACCAGCTATCACTGCACACTACACACTGTGAGCCAAGACCGTGTGGATCACTAGTCTTATATGAGTTCACCTATGAAGCATTGAGGCTCTGGAGAGTCATACCTGGCTTCCCATTGCTTTGACAGGGCAGTCACTATTGGCTCCATTCCTGATAGGTGCATTTCAACATGAGATTACAAAGGAAGCTCCTGAAGCACAGAGAGGTCACATTATGAGGTCACTACAATTGCAACAAGTAGACCAGTGTGGGGGGGGCAGTATTGTTGCTTGAGACAGGGTCGTACTATGTAGTACTGACTAGCAAATACTGACTCATTATCTTGCTCTGTAGCTCATGGTGGTCTCAAATTGAGAGATCTGCATTCTTTTTCTGCTTCCCAAATGCTTGGATTAAAGATGTTCACCACTACACAGGGCTTTCTTAAGCTTCTATTTTAATTTATTTTTTTGTGTATAGGGGCAGAGGTACATATCATAACACCAATATAGTAGTCAGGACAATTTCAGGAGTTGTTTTTTTATTACCAGTGTGGCTGACAGGGCTCTAACTCAAGTCATCGGGCTTGACAGCAGGCAGCTTTATCCACTGATCCATCTCATCAGCTCAGAGCTGCAGATTTTGAGTTTGAACAGATTATTATAGAGTTCCAGCCCTCGTGCTGACATCTAGCCAAGGGCTAGAGGCAAGACAAAGTGGTTTTAAGCACCCACAGCAGGCCTTTAGAGTGGATTTGGAATTTGTGGCCACCTAGAGGTTGGCTTGTAAATGACTAGTAGGGAGAGGTTTCTAATGTACATTATAAACCTGAAGGAGGACTGTACAGCTCAGTTCTTCATGATCAGATGGTAAGCTCAGTACAAACTCTCAGCTCTAGGTTAGGCATGGTCCCCACTGCAATTGGTCTTCTCTTTATGGTTACTTTGTAAGTGAGCTCTACTTAGGTACCAGGCTGTCCTGAGAGCCTGATCCAGTGTGGACAAAGAAGTCTAAGATTTTTTAGCTAACAGCTCTGGTTGTGGCCTCAGTCATTTTAGGGCTATTATGGAGCCTTCATTCTGGTGAAGAGGTGTAGGCCTAATGACATATGTGCCTCTCATTTCTCTGTGTCTGGTGTTTAGTAGGTCCATGCCTCAAAGAGTACACTAAAGGGAAGTGCACAGAGGTGGGGGACTCATGCTAGAGCCAGATAAGAGAAAGGACCCTGGACTCTCCTTTGGGCTTCCCCTTTTGTTCCAGTGCCTTCTGTCAACCAGGAGTCATTTGTTGAGAGAGACTATCCAAACTGGACACTCTTGACTCCTGGACCCCATACCCTCAAATCCCAAAGTCATGAATATCACTAACTACATCAGGTAACAGGGGTTGGATTGGGTCCACTCAAGCTTCTTCTGTGTGTGCGTGTCTAGTCACTGTTGTGTGTCTTCTGTGTGTGTGCGTGTCCACTGCTGTGTGCGTGCATATCTACTTACTGTTGTGTGTCTTCTGTGTGTGTGCGTGTCCACTGTTGTGTGTCTTCTGTGTGTGTGCGCAAGTCCACTGTTGTGTGTCTTCTGTGTGTGCGTGTCTAGTCACTGTTGTGTGTCTTCTGTGTGTGTGCGTGTCCACTGTTGTGTGTCTTCTGTGTGTGCGTGTCTAGTCACTGTTGTGTGTCTTCTGTGTGTGTGCGTGTCCACTGTTGTGTGTCTTCTGTGTGTGCATGTCCACTGTTGTGTGTCTTCTGTGTGTGCGTGTCCACTGTTGTGTGTCTTCTGTGTGTGTGCGTGTCTACTGTTGTGTGTCTTCTGTGTGTGCGTGTCTACTATTGTGTGTCTTCTGTTGTGTGGGTGTATACTCACTGTTGTGTGTCTTCTGTGTGTGCATGTCCACTGTTGTGTGTCTTCTGTGTGTGTGCGTGTCTACTATTGTGTGTCTTCTGTGTGTGCGTGTCCACTGTTATGTGTCTTCTGTGTGTGTGCGCGTGTCCACTGTTATGTGTCTTCTGTGTGTGCATGTCTACTATTGTGTGTCTTCTGTGTGTGCGTGTCCACTGTTATGTGTCTTCTGTGTGTGTGCGTGTCCACTGTTATGTGTCTTCTGTGTGTGCATGTCTACTATTGTGTGTCTTCTGTGTGTGCGTGTCCACTGTTGTGTGTCTTCTGTGTGTGCGTGTCTACCCACTGTTGTGTGTCTTTGGGGGCTTATGAGTTAGGTCAGTGAGGCTCACACTCATGTGAGGTCCAACAAGGCCACATACCATCCTAGCCTCATGTGTAAGTCCTCCTGAAGGCTTCTCCAAGGAAGTAAATGGGATACATAATTTGATCCACCATGGAATTTGGTATTGAGTGATCAGATAGGTAGGAATTTCTCATTGCTGCTTTTCTGTTTTTCCCTTTTCAAGGAAAGTTCTATCTCGCTGTTGTATTCCAGCCAACCCTGTGTACCTCTGCTTCAAAGGTGAGCCCCTCAGCTGTTGGACTCAGAGGCCTGAGTGCCAGGGCACCATTGCAAGGGCAACATGGACACCTGCCTCTGCAAGATTGCTTGTCACAGGACCTCAGTACCTTCCTGTGCGCAGCTGGCACTCGTCACCTTCCCTGGGAGAAGACTCTATGATCGAGAAGTCCCTTAAGTCCTTAAAGGACAAAAATAAGAAGCTGGAGGAGGGTGGCCCTGTGTACAGCCCTCCAGCTCAGGTGGTGGTGAAGAAGTCCCTGGGGCAGAAGGTACTGGACGAGCTGAGGCACTATTACCATGGCTTCCGCCTGCTCTGGATCGACACCAAGATAGCTGCCCGCATGCTGTGGCGCATCCTCAATGGTCACACACTGACTCGCCGGGAGCGCAGGCAGGTATGGGACACACCATGCTCTTCTTCTACACAGGTTATTTTCTACTCCTTTTGATAAAATGTCAGAAAAAGTTTATAGAAACATGAACCTATCTCATACTACCAGTGAATTATAATGTGAATACTGACATGTTGTTTTCTCCCTGGGTGGTTTCCTGCCGCCTTGTCCTTGGTCTCAGTGTTTCTGTTTCTACTTCATAGACACTGTGTCCCTTGGGGGGAAGTCTCTTAAAGTTACTTCTTTGGCTCTGTGAGCATTGAATGTAATTCTTCTGTCCTTAAGCTCTGAAAAGGCCCTTCCTGGGGCTGGAGAGATGGCTCAGTCGTTAAAAGCACTTACTGCGCTGAAGACTGTACACAGAGTCTGAGTTTAAAGGTGACAGACTAATCTGGCAGAGGACATTTCAAGACAAAAATAAGATCAGAGGCCTACAAGATTGGCTCATCTGTTAAAGGCACTGGTCACTCCAGCTTGGCCACCTGAGGTTAGTCCCTGACACGTGAGGCATGATAGGCACACACTGAAAATGGCCCTTTTACCCAGGTTCATAATGAGGATCAGGAGCAAAAGCTGAGTAGAAAGATTTGAAGAACTTGCAGTTAGGCCAGAAAAGCCAGTAAAAGTCGGAGCTGGCCGGGCGGTGGTGGCGCACACCTTTAATCCCAGCACTCGGGAGGCAGAGGCAGGTGGATCTCTGTGAGTTTGAGACCAGCCTGGTCTACAAGAGCTAGTTCCAGGACAGCCTCCAAAACAATACAGAGAAACCCTGTCTCATAAAACCAAAAAAAAAAAAAAAAAAAAAAAAAGTCGGAGCTAAGGACAGTACAGTTGTTAAAGAAATTGAGACTGGCGCTGGAGAGATGGGTCAGCAGTGAAGATCACTGGCTGCTCTTCCAGAGAACTTAGGGTCAATTCCCAGCACCCACATGGCAGCTCACATCGGTCTGTAACTCCAGTTCCAGGACATTTGACATCATCACACAGCTGTAGGCAAAACATCAATGAGCATGAAATAAAAAAATTAAAAGAAAAAGAAATTGGAACCATGGGGCTTGAGAGATGACTCAGTGGTTTAGAACACCTACTGCTCTTGCAGAGAGAGGACCTGAGTTCAGTTCCAGCACCACATGGTGGCTCACAACCATCTCTAACTCTAATTCCAAGATTTTAGACACACTCATTTGACCTCTTTGTGCACCAGGCAAAAATATACATGCAAGCAAAGCATTCATGCACATAAATAAATTTTTTAAATATTTTTTTTTAAAGAGAGATTGAGGCCAAGCATGGTAGTGCAGCACTTGGGAGGCAGAGGCAGGCAGATCTTTGTGAGTTCAAGACCAGCCTTGTCTACAAAGCAAATTCCAGGACAGCCAGAACTGTTACACAGAGAAACCCTGTCTGGAAAAAGACAAAACAAACAATAACAGAAAACAAAAAGAAAGAGATTGGGACCATTAAAAATAAGCAAGTCAGGGGGCTGGAGAGATAGCTCAGAGGTTAAGAGCACTGGACTGCTCTTCCAGAGATCCTGAGTTCAATTCCCAGCAACTACATGTTGGCTCACAACCATCTACAGTTCAGTCTGGTGCCTCTTCTGGCACGTAGGCAGAACACTGTATATTTAATAAATAAATAAATCTTTAAAACACACACACACACACACACACACACACAAGCAAGTCAGCCTGCCAGTAAAAGAACTGTCTGAGAAAAATACCCTGCTTGCTTACACTCTGTTAATCTATAACAGGTCACTTGAACATGAATGTATATGGGTTCTTGAGACAACTTGTTTTTCACTTGCAATATGTAAAATGTTTAATCGTGTAAGGGATATGGAAAACATGCTTTCTACCTGTATTCATTATAATTACTCACTTGAAAAATAGAATGTAACCACATGGTAACTTTTATAGTGCCTGAAAGATTTTGTGGGTTATATAAGCTGTAGAGGAAAAATAAAGAGCAGAATACAGAAGACGGAATAAAGAAAAAGTTGAAGGAAACCATCAAAAAACAAAAAAACAAGCAAGTACTTTGTGAGAAACATGCCTTTAGGTCATCAAAAAAATTGTCCAGGCCAGGTGGTGGCACACGTCTTTAATCCCAGCACTATGAAGACAGAGGCAGGTGGATCTCTGTGAGTCCAAGGCCAGCCTGGTCTACAAAATAAGTTCCAGGACAGCCAGAGCTACACAGAGAAACCCTGTGTGGGGGAAGGGGGTTGTCAAGATCATGGCCTGTAGTAGACCCTGCTATGGAAAATTATAAACTCATTTGAATGCTTTCACAGGTCCTCTATTTATTTGCAGGTGGTAGTGTGGGACATCTTTCATAGATTGCTATCTTGTCTAAATTGCCCTCCTTTGGGCCTGTCTTGTTTATCTCTACATACATCCTGTGTAGCTAGTGAGCTGTGAGTTAGCACCCTACCCCATTTTTCTGAAGGCCATTGGCATTTAGACTATGAGAAAGAAATGGGTTTCTGGGGTATCTGCCAAGAGCTCTTGAGTCACTCTATGGTTGCGTTTGTAGTAATGCTCCTGTCTTCTCTGTCTCCAATGATGTGCCCACATCTTTGCAGTTTCTCCGAATTTGTGCTGACCTCTTCCGCCTAGTGCCCTTCCTGGTGTTCGTGGTTGTGCCCTTCATGGAATTCCTGCTGCCTGTAGTTGTAAAGCTCTTCCCCAACATGCTGCCGTCCACATTTGAAACCCAGTCCATCAAGGTGAGGGCACTGGTATTGTGATAAAGAGAAAAGAGGCACAGAGACAGAGAACAGGAGAGAAGAGGGAGACAGGAAAGGTCCTGTCTGCCCCAGGGGAACATCAGGAAAGGGAGCGGGAAAGAGAGTGTAAGTGGGCAGAGATCTCTGTTTTAAAGGGGTCCTTTGCTGACCAGGGTGCTGCCTGAGTGTATTCTGCCAGGTGACAGGGTCAGGCCAGCATAATGCCTGAATCCTTACAACTGGGACTAGGCACTTTGAAAATGAATCTAAGGACTGGGCCAGTGACTAAGTGGGTAAAGAAGTACTTACATGAAAACACAGGTCTTGAATTTAATCCCTAGGACCCTGTAAAAACCAAGCTGGGTAGTGCATCCGTAATCCCAGTTCTCCTATGGTGAAATGGAAAGTAGAGAGAGACAGGACAGTTCCCAAAAGATCACACCAGCTAGTGGCAAACAGCAAAGAGACCCTGTCTCAAACAGGTGGATGGTGAGGACCAACATCCAAGGGGTCCTCTGATCTCCACACTCATGTAAGTCAATGTACACATATGTAAAACAGACAAACACAAAATAAACAACAAATAGAAAATGAGTCCAAACTTCCTTCCAGACCACACATTGCTACATGTGTGTTGTCTGATTCTTTTGTGAAGCATCAGCTTAGCCGAGTGATTATGTCACACCAAATGACCCATGAGGTCCCAAAGCCTCACTATCTGGTCCTCATGAAATAAGTTCTGCTATTGTGGTAGAGCTGGGACTTCACACAGACATTTTTAAAAACCATGAAATAACCGGGCATTGATGGTGCACACCTTTAATCCCAGCACTCTGTGAGTTTGAGGCCGGCCTGGTCTACAGAGTGAGTTCCAGGACAGGCTCCAAAGCAATACAGAGAAACCCTGTCTCAGAAAACAAAAACCATGAAATAGAATTTAAGAATATATCACACTTAGATTTAGTTCCTTGAAGGGTGTCGGAGACTTGTCTTGCAATAGGCAGCAGTCTAAGCAGGTTTCAAGACTACTTCCTACAGTAGAGACAGGTCCTGGTGGAATGCACGAGGGTGCAGGGCATGGCTGGAGTATAACTTTAACTTTGCTCTCATAGGAGGAAAGGCTGAAGAAAGAACTTCGGGTAAAACTGGAGCTAGCCAAGTTTCTCCAGGACACCATAGAGGAAATGGCCCTGAAGAACAAGGCAGCCAAGGGGAATGCCACCAAAGATTTCTCTGCATTTTTCCAGAAGGTATAGTATTCCAATTTGTCAGGTGTTGGTTTGAATATCAAGAACTACTAGGCCTTTTCTTCCCTCTTCTTTCCTTTATGCCTCTAATCCCAGCACTCAAGAGGCAGAGGCAGGCCTCTGTGAGTTTGAGACCAGCCTGGTCTACTGAGTGAGTTCCAGGGTAGCTTCCAAAGCCACCGAGAAACCCTGCCTCAAAAAAAAAAAAAAAAAAAAAAAAAAAAAAAAGAATGAAGCTACCTATCAAGGGAGCAGTAGTTACCTACAAATGTGCCTCTTCCTGCTACTGAGAAGCTGGGTTGTGACCCAGGGCAGTGCCCCCACAGCTGGCATTCCCAGCCTCCTGGTGGACGCAGCTTGGATGGTGATACAGAAATAGATGCTGTGTGTACTTGTGCCTCATACAACAGGCTTAGATTGCCTGAGGTATAACAACTCCCAGGAGAGCTTGGTGAGAGATAGGTGGTCTAGCCTCTGCATCTACTCTCTCCTGGTTCCTTACTTCCAGCTGGGATCCAAGGCTAGCTCTGGGAACAGGAGGATGCATAATTTGCAACTAATGGATAATACTTGGGATTACCTCTGCAGATCCGGGAGACAGGGGAGAGACCCAGCAATGAGGAAATCATGCGTTTTTCCAAATTATTTGAGGATGAACTGACCCTGGATAACCTCACGAGGCCTCAGCTGGTAGCACTGTGCAAGCTGCTAGAACTTCAGTCCATTGGCACCAACAACTTCCTGCGTTTCCAGCTCACCATGCGGCTGAGGTCCATAAAGGCTGATGACAAAGTGAGTTGGCCAAAAGTCAAGCCTATCGTAGAGTACTGTTCTGGCCACTTGCCTTTGTGTTTTGCACATGTGTCTTTGTTCCATTTTCTCTCTGCAGTAGTTTGTCTTCTTGATTTTCTTTCCCATTTTCTTTTTTCTTTTTTTTTTTTTTTGGTTTTTCGAGACAGGGTTTCTCTGTATTGTTTTGGAGGCTGTCGGTCCAGCCTGGCCTCGAACTCACAGAGATCCGCCTGCCTCTGCCTCCCGAGTGCTGGGATTAAAGGCGTGCGCCACCACCGCCCGGCTTCTTTCCCATTTTCTTGTCATTCTTTTTTTCTGACATAGCTTAGGCTGGCCTAGAACTCACTAAATGGCCCAGACTAGCCTTATATTTGTGCCAATCCTCCTGCCCCAGGCTACTGAGTGCTGGTATTACAAACATGAACTACCATACCTGGTTTGTTTGTTTTATTTGTTTTTTCTTTTTGCTTGGGACGAACAGTCCTGGGTATTGAACCCAGGGCTTCACATGCTATGTAAAGCACTCTAACTCCTGAGCTGTTTTCTTAGCCCCTTTTTATTTTCCTTTAATTCTTTTAGATTTATTTTACTTTATATGTATGAATGTTTTGCCTGCATATATCTATGTGTACCTTACCATGTGTGTGCCTGGTGCCCTCAGCGTTGAAGAGGGCATGGGATCCTAAAATTGGATAGATGGTTGTGAACCTGTGATGGGAATTGAACCATTGTGCTCTTGAAAACAGCCAGTACTCTTCACCTGTTGAGACATCTCTCCAGCCTCACTCTATTTTCTTTTTTACATTTTTTTCTTTGTCTGTTTTTCATGTGTGTGTAGTATGTATGTGTATATGTATGTTTGCACATGCCTGGGGTGGTTATGTATGTATGAGTGGGTTCGCGTGCATGTATAAGCCCAAGGCTGAGGTTGGGACTCATCCTCAATTGTTCTTCTATCTTACTCAGTACAGCAGAGTCTTCCAGTCAAACCCTAAACTCAACACTGTGGCTAGTTTCCTAGCCAGCCTGCTTTAGGGAGTCCCCAGCCTCTGTCTTCCAAGGCTGGGTGTCACGTAACCCAGGCTAGCCACCAACTCACTATGTAACCAAGATTAGCATTTTTAACTCTTTTAAAAATTTTTTTCATTGTGATGTGTTTATTTTTATTTTATGTACATTGATGTTTTGCCCACATGTATGTCTGTGTGAGGATATTGGATACCCTAGACAGTTGTGAGCTGCTGTGTGGGTGCTGGGTATTGACCTGCGTTGTCTGGAAAAGCAGCTAGTGCTCTTAACTGCTGAGCTGTCCCCTCAGCCCCAGCATTTAACTCTTTTAAGACATTTTTTTAAAACATTGTGTATTTAGTGTGTCTGTGTGTATGCAAGCAGATATGGGCATCACACATGATATGTGTGGAGTCAGTTATATTTGCATGAGTCAGTTCTTTTAATTCTCTTACCAAGGAGCAAATTTAGGTTATCAAGCTTAGTGGGACACACCATTTTGCTTCCCTGGCCTTTAGCTCTTAATCTTCTTGCTTCCAGGTCTCAGGACACCTAACCTTAGCACTCTTTCTTTACTTTTTATTTTGAATAGACAGGGTCTCAGTTTCCAGGCCAACCTTGAACTTGGCGTCTTCCTTCCTCTGCCCAGCAAATGATGGACTTACAGGGGTGGGCCACCAGGTCTGACTTGCCTGCCTGCCTGCCTTCCTAATTTCTCTTCTTCTTCCTTCCCCTCCTTCCTTCCTTCCCTCCATGTCTCTCTCTGTTTATATTTTTGCAGGCAGTCAAGAGCTTTCTACTTAGCCCTGGTGATCCTGGAACTTGCTTTGTAAACCAAGCTGACCTCAAAACTCAATATGTAGACCAGGCTGGCCTTGATCTCATAGAGATCCGCCTGCCTCTGCTTCTCAAGCGCTGTGATTAAAGGCGTGCGCCACCATCCTTGGCCCTTGCTTTCCTTCCTTGAACGTACTAATCATAATTCATGTCCAATATTGCAGGACTGGGGAGTCTTTGGGCCTTTGTCTTTGCTGTCCTTGCATTTGTTTGTTTGCTATATTTCATTTTTCTGAACTACAGGCACTGACTGTTTTAACAGAGATTCTTCTTTCAGGAAGGACTCTCTCAATGAGCAAGCCCAGGGGCTGGCTACTCTACCCTTGCCAGGGTGGCCTTGGGCTGGGAAAGTTTTGGGGAGCTAGCAAAGAGGGAGCTAACAAGGAGCTGACTTGTCTTCCGCAAGTAGTAACAGCTACCTCCTCTCCATCAAAGTGTCATTAGGAGCAAGTGTGGAAACACGGTTTCCACTCTAGCCCTTCACTATCAAGTGCATTCAGGAGAGGCCCAGTGGAGTTAGGACTTTGACACCTGCCCAACAGTAACAAGACCAGGTCCTGTGGTGTCAGTGGGAGCTAGGTGGAAAGCAGTACCGAGGAACTTCTACCTGGCAGCCAAGGTGTCTACAGACGTGGAGCAGGTGCCGGGCGTTGGTGGCGCACGCCTTTATACCAGCACTTGGGAGGCAGAGGCAGGCGGATCTCTGAGTTCGAGGCAAGCCTGGTCTTCAGAGCAAGTTCCAGGACAGCCTCCAAAACAATACAGAGAAACCTTGTCTGGAAAAAAAAAAAAAAGAAGAAGAAGTAGAGCAGGAGTGTTTACCTTAGGGAGTCAGCCAGTAAAATGGAGAGCCTGTGCCCTCATTTGTTCTAAACGTCACCCCTTAACTGTAACGAGTCTTTCTCTGTCTTACCAGCCAGCTCCAAAATCATGACACCAGGACTTCTTATTAATTATGAAAGCTTGGCCGTGTTCCTAACTAGCTCTTATAACTTAAATTAACCCATTTATACTTATGTTTTATGATGTGGCATCACCTCTCTTCCATCTTGTTCTTAACTAGCTCTTATAACTTAAATTAACCTATTTATACTTATGTTTTATGACATTGCATTACCTCTCTTCCATCTTGCACCTCCTGTTTTCTCTCCATGTCTCCTGGCTTTTCTTGCTCGCCTAGATCCCTCCTCCTCTTCCTTTCTCTCCCTGGAAATCCTACCCATACCTCCTGCCTAGCTATTGGCCATTCATCCTTTTGTTACACCAATCATAGCCATACGTCTTCTCACAGTGTATATATATCCCACAGCATTTAACTTGTGGATGGGACCAAGTAGCCGTGTGGAAAGACACCTGTGTGTAGCACTTGGGCCATATGGAACCTTGCTGCAGAATAGAGATAGAGAGCGCAAGGATTGACACTGTCCCTTTGTTCCCTATGGGGGAACAGCCAGGAAGTGGTTTTGACTATAGGTTGTGAAACAGAGATCAAGGTTTGTGTTTGGTTAAGAACAGTTCACATAGCATTTCTGGCTGTAAGATGCAAACTTTTTATTTTTATTTTTTTAATTTTTATTCATTTATTTATTTATTTTGGTTTTTTGAGACAGGGTTTCTCTGTGGCTTTGGAGGCTGTCCTGGAACTAGCTCTTGTAGACCAGGCTGGTCTTGAACTCACAGAGATCCACCTGCCTCTGCCTCTCAGAGTGCTGAGATTAGAGGCGTGAGCCACCACCAAGAAGCAGTGTCAGAGGAATCCAGTGAGACAGAAACTAGAATCCCATCAAGATTTTTCTGCCATATACCCTGTAAAGAGTCATATTAGGGTTGGAAAGATCACTCTGTGGTTAAGAGCATTTGCTGTCTGATACAGAAATGATAGAATAAAAAGGTAGATTATTGAATCTACTTTTAAACCAAAAAAAAGCAACTACTAGTCTTACATATTTTACATTGGCATGGATTTTTGTATATTGATCCAGATTTGGGTTTGTTTTTGTTATACTGTATGTTTCTACTCTTGCTTGGGATATTGTGTTTAAGCAGCTCATTTAAAAATATAGTGTATAAACTCTAGAACTACAACTGTGGAGACTCCAGGGGACCAAACTAGGCCCTCCATATATGGGAGACAGTCGTGAAACTTGGACTATCAAAGGGGCCCTGGCAGTAGGACCACAATACAAACCTGGTACATGAGCTAGCTTGTTGGAGCCCATTCTTATATTTTTGGTTGGGAGCCTAGCCTTTAACGGCTGAGCTATCCCTCCAGCCCTGGAGCCCATTCTTTAGGGTTTGATGTCATGCTCAGTGACAGTACGACCATGATGTAATCCGGGTACATGACCTAGCTTGTTGGAACCCATTGCCTATGGTGGGATGCCATGATCAGTCTTGATGCATAGGAGAGGGGTCTGTGCCAGACTGTTGACTCCTCGTGGGCACCCTTACCCATGAGGAGGAGTGGACTAGGGGTGGGCAAGGGGGAGGCAAGGAAAGGTGGGAGGAGGCAAGGGGAGGTGAGAGGAGGGGTGGGAGGGAGAATTGTGGTTGAAATGTAAAATGAAATCAAAACATAAAAAATGGAAAAAATATAATAGTTAAAAATATAAGTTAATAATTAATCATCTATAATAGTCACCCATATCTATCAAACTTATTTCTAAGTATACAAAACAATCCTTTTCTATACTGTGAATATGTATTACTCTCATTGGCCAGTAGCTGGGCAGGAAGTTAGGTGGGAACACCAAACTGAGAAAGATGGGAAGAAGGAAGGCAAAGTCAGGAGACACCAGCTAGCCTCCAGGGAAGTAGGACTTAGAGAAAATGAGGTAGCAAGCCATGAGCCATGTGGCAAAGCATAGATAAGAAATATGGGTTAGTCTAAGTATAAGAGTTAGCTAGTAATAAGCCTGAGCTATCGGCCAAACATTTATAATTCATATTCAGCCTCTAAGTCAGTTATTTGGAACCAGGTGGTCAGGATAGGAAACGTCCGTTTACAGCTGTCTTTACAAAGAATGTGAGTTTGGTTCTCAGCACCTATATGGTGGCTCACAACCATCTGTAACTTCAGTTCCAGGGCATCTTCAACACTGTCTTCTGGCCTCTGTGGGCATCAGGCACACATGAGGTGCACATACATACGTGCAGGCAAAACCCTCATATATATAACATAATGCTTTTTTAAAAGTTAAAAAGGGCCAAGTGGTGGTGGCGCACGCCTTTAATCCTGGCAGAGGCAGACAGATCTTTGAGTTCAAGGCTAGTCTGGTCTATAGAGTAAGTTCCGGGACAGCCAGGGCTACACAGAGAAGCCCTATCTCCAATAACAAAAAAAAAAAAAAAAGAAGAAGAAGAAGAATGAGGAACTACCAATACATTCTCAGGTAAAAGAACACAAGAATTGTTTCATATTCCTTAAAGAATGGCCAAAGAAACAAAGGAGATGGGTTGGTCGGTAAAGTGCCAGCCACATAAGCATTTAGACCTGCCCTGCGTTTAGATCCCCAGAACTGTATACCAGGACTGGTATAGGCAGAGACAAGTGGCTCCCTGAAGCTTCAGCCAGACTCTTGTCCCCAAAGAAATAAAGAAGAGTGATCAAAGAAAGACACCCCATATATAGTTCTGGCCTCCAAATCCACATGCATACATATGTACACACATTAACTGGTACAAACACTGCAGGTGCAATATAGTACACACACACATGCCAAAGGAAGTTTTCTACCCAAAACTCTTTATTATACAGTGCAAGATGAGACTTCAGAGTATCAGAAGGAAGGAGGAGGAAGAAGTTTGAGTGAATGTGGCCAGTCTTCACTCCTGCTTTCTAGTGAGCTGAAGGTCTGTAGCTCTTGTGATACGGTTCTCTAGAGAAGATAAAGCAGCTAAGATGACCAGATCAGGAGTGGGAGAAGGCAAAGGAAGGTGCGCGCTCTGCCCGTTGTTCCACTCTGTGAGTTGTGATGAGTGTGCACTGTACTCCAGAGCACTCCGTGACAATGCTGCAATAGCCAGAGGAAAGCCAATCAAAAATAGCTTTTTTTTGCATAGTGAACAAACTGGAAATGGCCCCATCTTATTGGGAAAACAGAATGATCCAGTCAGCCTATGGGAAGCTGCCCATCAATCAGGAGTCACCTCATGGCAGCCAGATGTGTCCTCAGGGACACCAGAGGTTCCTACCATGTGATTTCTGTGTGTTTCTACATGTTCACTATTCTTCAAATAACAAGTGGCAGCCATAGGAGTCAGGGTGTGTATAAAAGGCAGCATTCAGGTGAACATGGCTCTGTCCTGTCTGTGTGTGTATCTGTGATTATCACAGAAAGTTTAACTCAAAAACCGAGCAGTGGTGCAGTAGGATAGTTGTACAGTTGTGGGCATGGCAAGGGCTCAGTAGTTGCTCAGCACCACGTGCACCCCATTGTTTACTTCATTCTCTCTTTTAACCTGTTGCCTCCTCTGGGTCTCCGGGTCTCCTGTATTCCAAATTGGGGTCACCCTGACCTGCACAACTGTAAACTGAAGCAAAGGAGACACCTCTGGGTGTGAAGCCCAGGTGTCTTCCGTGTGCTGGGTCTCTCTGCCTCAACACTGGATCTGAGCACTCTGTGGCAGGGGATGAGCCAGCAGGGCAGGACTGGTCCTGTCACAGGAAAGAGCAGGCTTCCCCCAGCACCTTCTCTAGGACGTGCATACGTGGAGGTAGGCTTTATGACATCTTGGGGTCAATTCTGGTCATCCTGTTCTTTCATGACCTTTTCCAGTTGGTTCAAGTTACTTGAGACTCAGAACTTGCTCTGATGGCACTATTTTGTCTTCTTTTTTTCTGGTCCCGGGGATAGATCCTTGCATCCCAAAGCACTGAGCTGTGCCTAATAGCAAAACTTATCAAGAAAATGGCTGCTGCCTGCCGCTTCTTTGTTGGGGGGGGGTGCGTTTCGAAACAGGATTTCTCTGTGTATCCCTGGCTGGCTGTCCTGAAACTTGCTTTTTATACCAGGCTGGTCTCAAACTCAGAGATCCACCTGCCTCCATCTCCCAAGTGCTGAGATTAAAGGCATGCGCCACCACCACCCTACCTTTTTTTAACTTTTAAAATTGTATGTGTATGAGTGTTTTGCCTACATGTGTGCCACATTAAGTGCTTATGGAGGTCAGTGAGGGCATCAGATCACCTGGAATCATAGTTATAGATAGTTGTGAACGGCCATGTGGGTACTGAGGAGCAAGTGCTCTTAACCAATGAGCCATCTCTCTAGCCTCAGGAAAATGGTTTCTAATTCAGTATTTTTTTTTTTCTCACTTGTGTTAACATCGGTGTCTTAGATCAGGATGATCTTGAAAAGCAGTAATTGGCTTTCTTTTCCAGCTGATTTCTGAGGAAGGAGTGAACAGTCTGAATGTCAAGGAATTGCAGGCAGCATGTCGAGCACGAGGCATGCGAGCCCTTGGCGTCACAGAAGACCGTTTGAAGGACCAACTGAATCAGGTATGTGGCCTTAGTGCTTAGTGGCTTGGGGCAGATTTGTAGCTTTCTCCTCCGTTAGGAATTATCTACCTTTGCTCCAGACCAGCACAGGCCCGAGTGTGTGTGTGTGTGTGTGTGTCTGTGTGTCTGTGTCTGTGTGTCTGTCTGTGTGTGTCTGTATCTGTGTCTATGTGACTCTGTGTGTGTCTGTGTGTGTTTTCAAACTAGAAAAGCCCTAAGGTTGGGGTATGTCCTGAGTGGTATGTGTAAGGCCCAGAATTCTATCCTTAACACTGCATGGGAGTACACACATAACACACACACCTGAGCATGATGGTACAGAAGGATCCTGACACAGAAGGATCACTGAGTTTGAGGGCAACCTGGCTTTAGTGTAAGACCCTGTCTCAGAACAAACAGAGAGAAAGAAAGGTCAGTTGATGGACTGGTAGCCTAGCACGCACAGGGCCCTGGGTTGGATCTCTAGTACCATCTGATGGTTGAACACATCTGTAATCCTGGCACTCAAGATGTGGAAGCAGGACAGTCAGATTTTTTTTTTTTTTTTTTTTTTTTTGGTTTTACGAGACAGGGTTTCTCTGTATTGTTTTTGAGGCTATCGGTCCAGCCTGGCCTCGAACTCACAGAGATCCGCCTGCCTCTGCCTCCCGAGTGCTGGGATTAAAGGCGTGCACCACCACTGCCCGGCTGACAGTCAGAAAGTTAAGACCACGTTCAGCTAAAGACCAAGTTTTGGGACACCCTCCCAACTTGACTGGGTTTGCGTCCACGCTCTCAGCTACCCTGTACTGGCCCTCTGTGAGTATGTGGCACTGTACCTTGCCTCAGCTTAAGGTTCCCGACGCAGTAGTCCCAGTACAGGTCTGTGGAAGTGGGTGGTGACCTTTCATATCAGAAGGCTTAGTAGACGGGAGATACGAGCTTGGTCTTCCTCCTTCTCAGCGTCACACCTGGGCGCCCTTGGCAGTTGTTCACCTGCCACTTCCCATGTGCTCTTCACATGTGGCCACGGATGAGTGAGCACCCACTTTCCCATTAAACACATTTCTGCAACCTTTTCTTACCATTTATCTTCCAGGGCCTTCTCATCACATAGGTAGGCTACCAGCACAGACCTAAAGGGTGTGTACATTGTCGAACCAGAGAATCAAGGTCTCAGTCATCTGACCTCTGCCTTTCTTCTGCTGCTCAGCCTTTTCATACATTCTTAGCATTTCTTCTTCTTCTTTTATGTGTATCAGTGTTCTGCCTACATGTATGTATATGATCATATGCATGCCTGGTGACCTTGGAGGTTAAGAGAAGATGTTGGATCACCTGGAACTAGAGTTACAGATAGTTGTAAGCATCCATGTATGTGTTAGGAATAGAACCCAGGTCCTCTACAAGAACAACTGCTCTTAACAGCTAAACTGTCTCTCTAGCCCCTCTTCTCATCTTCGGCCCTGTGTTCAATGTGTGCACAAAAGATAACAGCTTTTTCTGTCCACTTGAAAGATTGTCTTGATGTCACTAAGGTATCCTGATGGCACAGAGCCTGTGGCATGCCTGTATGTGAGTGTGAACTCGTTTTATGTTCTTGTTGGAGGTGAGAGGACAACTATCAGGAACCTTGTGGGATCTGGGAATCAAACTCAAGTTGTCAAGTCTATAAATAAATGTCTCAAGCCAGATGTGGTGTAGCACGCCTTTAATCTCAGCACTCAGGAAGGCAGAGGCAAGTGGATCCCTGAGTTTTCGGCCTGGTCTACAGAGTGAGTTCCAGGACAGCCATGCTACACAGGGAAACTCTGTCTTGGGGGTGGGGGATGATGTCTCTACCTGCTAAGCCATCTTGCCAGCCTTCAGTTTGATCTTAGCATAGTGTTTGGGGTTCAGCTAGAGGTTGCACATACGTATGCTAGGCAAACCCTGTGTCACTGAGCTACAGCCGCCGCCCTCTAAAAGTTTTGTTTGTTGTGTGAGTCCAGGTCTCACTCTGTAGCTCTGGGTATCCTAGGCTCACATGTAGCTTAGAACTCAGAGCAGAGACCCACCTGCTCCTGCCTCCTGAGTGCTGAGATTAAAGATAATGTGCCACCACATACTGCCTGCCCTTCAAATTTTTAAAAAGAACAATATTTCTAGATAAGATCTCCTATATGACCAGTCTGATCTTGAATTTCTAGGTATCCTGCATCTAAATTTTTTTTATTTATATCTAAACACTTGGGCCAGTACGGTGGATCTGTGAGTAAGGGTGCTTGTCTCCAAGTTTGACAACCTGAGTTTGATTCCCAGAACCCATGTGATAGAAGGGGAGAGATGACTCCCAGAAGTCATTCTCTTGACTTCCTGGGCCTCTGTGCCATGTGCTGCTACCCCTCCCAAATAAGCAGGTGTAAATATATGAATAAAAACACAAAGGGTACAAATAGTATTGGGTATAAGTAATATATATGTATGGTACTCTAAGCATTTTTTTAAGTGTCAGGCTGTAATAGCCCATGCTGCCAGTAGATTGTATGATCCTTCTGCCTTAGCTAGTGTAAGAATTACAGTTATGCACCACCATCAGCCAGTGTACTAGCTTGTTTTTAAGCAAGTAACCATTCTCAAGGTACCTGGAACTGATGGTCAACTGTTCAGTTTACTAAGGTGTGTATGCTTTATGTTATATATATTGGATATTTTAATCTTTATTTTATGTGTATGGGTGTTACATGTATGTTTGCACACCTCGTGCATACAGGTCCCCATGGAGGTCAGAAAAGGGTGTCAGATCCCTCAGAACTAGAGTTACAAACATTTGTGAGCTGCCATGTAAATGCTAGAAACTGAACCCAGGCCCTTTGCAGGAGTAGCAAGTGCTCCTTCCAGCCTCTGAAAGTTAGAAATATCGTCTTTGGGAAATGTATTTTAGTGACTTAATGAACTATTTATTGAGTCATGTTTGCTGTGGTACCCAGACTCTATATCCCTCAATTAAGCCAAAGCCACAGAAGGGAACTCGGTGGCAATCTGTTACCTTGAGGCACTGGGACCGTGGGTCAGGCAAGGACAGCACGTCCAGTGAGTGTGTTTGATTCCAGTGGCTGGACTTGCACCTGCATCACGAGATCCCCACGTCACTGCTCATACTGTCCCGGGCCATGTACCTCCCAGACACCCTCTCACCTGCTGACCAGCTCAAGTCCACTTTGCAGACCCTTCCAGAAATCGTGGTATGTATTGTCAGAAGATCTTTTGACTCTTGATCTTTGTGGGCTTGGTACCCTCACCTCCACAGCTCTGGGATCCTCTCTACCTTGGCCTTCCTGTCTTCTTCACCAGCTCCTTGGTTTGTCTCCCTGCCCAGCCCTCTGTGTGGCACGTTGCAGGCATGACAGTGCTAAGGTAGCAAATCTGAATTGAGGTATTTGAGTTTTGCTCTGAAACTCAAAACAGTCCTGATGGGCGAGGAACCCTGGAAGCACCTCTAAACACTCAGGAGGCAACGCCCATCAGTGAACTCTGTTGTTTTGTATGAAGCCCAGGTGGGAACATTGCTCAGACAGAGGTAAGGGCATCGTAGGTCTGACGCCTCAGGCTCGCTAGCAATGGCCTTCTTTCTCTTTCCCTCCAAGGCCAAGGAAGCTCAGGTGAAAGTGGCAGAGGTGGAAGGCGAGCAAGTAGACAACAAGGCAAAGCTGGAGGCCACACTGCAGGAAGAGGCTGCCATCCAGCAGGAGCAACTGGAAGAGCTGCAGAGGGCTGCTAAGGCGGTGGTAAGCAGCCTGCACTGACTGACTCCGTGGGACCCACGGCTGTCCCACTCAAGTTTCCTAGAGCCTGTCTTATGCCGTGTATATGGTCCTCAGTCCTATCCTGTCTTCGCCTGTAGGGGTCAGAGTGGTACAAAGACACAGGAGTGCTTGACTGTAGAGCTATAGCTCTCAGGGACAGTGCAATAGAAGACAAGATGTTCTATCTATCTGGTCACCATTGGCATAGGAGCGGCTGACTTAGCGCCCAAGCAGGAGTCACCAAGGGACCACCTTCTCAGGGTTGTTTTCCTAAGACTTGCTGACTCCCCATAACTGTGCTCACTTCTTGGCCCTATGGTCTCAAAAGCAATTGCCTAAGTTATTCATGCACATCTCTTCACCCAGACTCCGTTCTGGAGATGGGCTGCGTGTTCTGACTCAATCTGTTGAGCTTCAGGTGGCCTGCTCATCCTGGGGCAGGGGAACTACTGCTGCTGGGTGATCTGTGGGTCTTCTTTATCACTTAGTAAAATATTCCAAGTGTGACCCATCAGTAGTATATGCAGAGTGTGGAACCAAAGCCTGGTGACCAAGGTGACCGTGTAGTACTGCTTACATTTCAGAAGGACATCCAACCAGAAGTAGTAGAAGCCACCATTCCTGGGAAGCCAGGGGCCGAGCTTCAGCCCGAAGTGCCTGATGTGATGATCCTGTCCTCAGAGACACTGAAGGATACGGCGCCTGTGCTGGAAGGTTTGAAGGTGAGCTGTACGTGACCAGGGGAGGAATGAAGCTGGGCTGTGGGTTCCTTAGCTTCTAAAGAAGTCTTGCTGGGCAGGGCATCCTCTTACCCTCCAACCAGTCCACACTTCAGACCCTCCCAGAGGTCATGGTATGTACTGTTGGGAAACCCCATTGACTCATTCACTTTGTGGGTAGAGGGGTCACCTCCACAACTATGGAGCCCCTCCAGGGACACTTTTACTCCCTGGTGAGATGAAGTAGTGGCCTTAGGGGTATGAGAAGCTTAGAGCCTGTGACACTAAGATAAGGCTGTCAGGCTACTCATGGGTTTCTAGGCCCTTGTCCTTCTGTTGGTCAGTGGGAGGGGAAATGAAGGCTGGGCCTTCAAAGCAGAACTTTCTCTGTAGAAGCCCACCCTGGTGTCATTTGCTTGGTGACTGAGGCTCCTTAAGAAATTCCTGTCAACTTGTTGTCAATAAATTAGACAGAACATGAAAAATCTTCTGAGTCCATCTGCCTGAGATGCTCCAGGGATATCCCACATAAAGGAGCAGATGTTCAAGTGTGGTGGGTGATGAAAACTCTTAAATGGATAGAGACAACTTGGTAGGTGAACAAGAAAGAGAAGGAGAGAGAGGGAAAGAGAGGGAGAGAACGCTAGATGAAAGCTGTGTGTTCAGGAAGGTCTCTGCCTGGGATCCTGTAGGATGGCAAAAGCCCTGTGTCTTGAAGGGAATGGATGATCAGGATCATATTCAGGGCTCAGAGAAAGGAGGTAAAACTTGCTCTTGATAAAAGCAGGAAGTGTGGAGGGCTGAGGCCTGGCAGCTGTCTTTAACAAATAATGGCCTTTGCAAGAAGGGGTGTGAAAGTTTCTGACCAGGGTCTGGTCACTGGAATTTTGGAGAAGACAGTGTGAGTGAGCCCAGCAGAGCCTAGTGGGTGCCTTTGAAGACTGGCCTGTGGGGAGCAGGCTGCTGCATGGCCCAAGAGACCCCAGAACAGACATGTGGTGTGGTCACAGCTAGAAGGTCATGGTAGTGACAGAGGTCATCCAAACCTGGACACAAGGTTGGTTCCCATACATTCCTGCAAGAAGCAGACTGTAGAGGCAGAGACAAATGATCCCTGGGGTTTAATGATCAGCCACCCTAGCTGAATTGGTAACCCCCAAGTTCTAGTCTAGACTCTGTCTCAAAAAATCAGGTGGAGGATGGAGACATGGCTCAGTAGTTACACTTCTCTTGTTCAAGTTCCGTTCCCAGCAGCCATATCTGATGGCTCACAACCACCTGTAACTCCAGCTGCAAGGGACCTGATAACCTCTCATCTCTCTGGGTACCTACACTTATGTGCACATTCCCACATACACACATACAATTAAAATGTTAATTTTCTTTAAAGAACTCTCAGATGTAGCATAGTAGCTCATGCCTTTAATCCCAGTACTCAGGAGGCATCGACATACATATATAAATAACAAATTAATAAATAAGCCTCTCACAACTTAATAAATAAGACAAATAATTTTTTAAATTGTCAATACTGAGCCAGATGGTACAGGTTTGTAATTATGGCTACTCGATAGGCTAACACAGGAGATTCACAAGTTCAAGGACAGCCTGGACGATTTAAATAAAAATAAAATAGCACAGCTTAAAGAAATGCCTTGGAGGTCAAGAACACTGGCTGTTCTTCTTTAAGACCTAGGTTTGCTTTTCAGCACCCACGTGGCAGCTCACAACTGTTGACTCCAGTCCCAGGGGACCCAGTGCCTTTTCTAGTCTCTTCAGGAACAAGACAGGCATGTGGTATACAGATATACATGTAGGCAAAACATACACATAAAAATAAATGCTTTTTTAAAAAATGTAAAATAGGGCCAAGGATGTGATTCAATAGTGCTTGTATAGCATGCTCAGGGTCCTAGGTTCAGTGCCCAGTACTGGGAAAAAAAAAAAATGTGACCTTCCATCTAGTATTGGAGAGGGTGTGGAGGGCCTAGATCACTTTGGAAACACTTTGATCACTTTGATAGTTTTCTAAAGCATCAAACTCATACCCTATGATCAGCTGCACTGCTGCTGGGCATTGCATACCAATGGTTATGCACAGACAGACATTCACAACAACTGTCATTGTAGTCACTGAAAGCCAATAGGAAGGAAAAAGTTGTGCTTTGATGTTGCTATCCCCATTAGAAATATTTTACCATTGGATGCCAAAATAAGTGAGTTGGTCAAAGAGGCAGAGTTGGTTCCTCTCCTATAAAGTTCTAGAAAACGGGCTGGAGAGATGGCTCAGAGGTTAAAAGCCCTCTTCTGACCTGCAGGCATACATGCACACAGAACAGTGTATATATAATAAATAAATGGATTGCTAAATTAAAAAGTTCTAGCCAGGTTTTGGTGGCTCATGCCTTTAATCCCAGCATTCAGAGGCAGAGGCAAGTGGATCTTTGTGAGTTTGAGACCAGCCTGGTCTACAAGAGCTAGTTCCAGGACAGCCTCCAAAACAATACAGAGAAACCCTGTCTCGAAAAACCAGAGAGAGAGAGGGAGAGGGAGAGAGAGAGAGAGAGGGAGAGAGGGAGAGAGGGAGAGGAGAGAGAGAGGGAGAGAGGGAGAGGAGAGAGAGAGAGACAGGAGGCAGGTCAGTCTTGCCTGGGGATGGGATTCTGGGGAATGTAAGGGAGCATTTGGGGATAAGTAGGTGCTTACTCTGGTGCCTATGGGATGAGTGTGTTGTGACACAGTGCACCAGGGAGACACAGAGAGAGTTGTCACAGCCAGCATAGCCCAGAGCTGAGCTCCAGCTCCCTTGAGGCTGTCCTCAGGTGGTTGCCAGAGCACTTGGTGTGAGCAGAGAGGCTCTCAACATTAACGACAGAAGCCATTTGTTCCCTTGACTTGGGCTTATCTTCTTACTCATTTCTTACAGGGAGAAGAGATAACCAAGGAGGAAATTGACATCCTCAGTGATGCCTGCTCTAAGATAAAGGAACAGAAGAAGTCCCTGACCAAGGAGAAGGAGGAGCTGGAGCTGCTGAAAGAGGATGTCCAGGACTACAGTGAGGTGGGTGAGCAGACGATGCAGGCGTATAGACCATTGCAGGGAGCCCGCCCTTCATGAGCTTCTCAGAGCCCACTGACACTCAGAGGGTGGGTAAAATACAGCTTTGTCAGACCCCAAAACTTCAACCAACACTCCTGTCATGTATGTAACAAGGTGACCAGAGAGAATTTGGAAAGAAAAGTCAAATGGAAAATAAAATTTGACTTGTGATATAGTTGGGCAGTAGAGCACAAGGCCTAGCATATACAAGCCTCTAGCTTAGAGTCCTAGCACCAAAAAAGAACATGAGTTTATCCCAAAGCTTCGCCATAGTGATTCTAATTGGGCTACTTTATAGGTAAATGACACCCTTGTTAGTGCTAAGTAGACAGTGATAGCACGGTATCTGCACCCCAGTGTCTGTCACATGCACCCCAGTGTCACATGCATAGTTTGGCCACTTGACACATGAAACCTACTTTCATAGTGCTCCCCAAGGGACTTCTTTCTTTTATCTAGTGACCATTCCTCCCTCTCTCTCCCTTTCTTCTTCCCTTCCCTCCCTTTCTTTCTTTCATAGTGCTGGATTGATCCCAGGGTCTTGTGCATGCTAGACAAGCATTGTGCCACTAACTGCATCCTCAGCCCCAACAGACACTTTTCTAAATCTGAGCTAACAGTGCTATTATTCCCATGCTGTTGGGCAAGTAATGATTTGGAGATTGCTAAAAAAAAATCAGTTTGCTATTTCTCATCTTCCCTACGGTAGGGTAGCTAGCTGTACGACTTCTCCATCAGAAACCACATTTGTCACCAGATAGACAAGACAGTGCCTCATTCTACTCTGCTCTTACCCTGTCCCTGTCGTTCCTGCTCCATGTAAAGAAAGAAGGTGCTTAGTATTCCTTGAACCTTTGTTTATCCTTTTTGATTTCATTTATTTTTATTTCACATGCATCGGTGCATTTGCCTGCATATATGTCTGTATAAGGGTGTCAGATCCCCTGGAGCTGGAGTTACAGACAGTTGTGAGCTGTCGTGTGGGTGCTAGCAATTGAACCTGAGCCCTCTGGAAGAACAACCAGTGATCTTAACCACTGAGCCATCTCCCTGGCCCCTATATGTTTATTCTTTAGTGACTACAAATGAAGTTGATATTCAGAATAGATTTTTTCCCCTCTAATACCAAAAAAAAAAAAATTGAGCTTACAAAAATACAGGTGAACTGCTAAACCAAAAAATTAATAAAAACAAATTTGCATAGTAAACATAAGATCTTCTAATTTTCAGCCAAGCAGTGGTGGTGCACACCTTTAATCCCAGCACTTGGAAGGCAGGGCAGGAGGATCTCTGTGAGTTTGAGACCAGCCTGGTCTACAAGAGCTAGTTCCAGGACAGCCTCCAAAACAATACAGAGAAACCCTGTCTCAAAATAAAACAAAAAACAGATTCTTCTGAGACTGAATTCTTTCATTTGGTTTTTGTTTTGTGGTGTTAGGGAATCAAACAGGATCTTGTGCATAGTAGGAAGCATTGTACCACTGAACCACAATCCAGCACAGATTCATAATTTAATTTCTTTGTCAAGCTGAAACTAATATAGAGTCCTCCCTCTTTTTTTGATACAAACTTTTAAAAATTAGGACTTACAGGAGATCAAAAAGGAGCTTTCAAAGACGGGTGATGAGAACTACATCGAAGAATCCAAAGCTAGCAAGAGGCTGACAAAGCGAGTCCAGCAGATGATCGGGCAGATTGATGGCCTAATTGCACAGCTGGAGACGAGTCAACAGAATGGCAATCTGGGCCCCCAGGAGAGATCTCCAGCAGGGTAAGTGAGCCGTGAGCCTATTCTAGCATGGCCTGCAGCTGGCAGGTGCTTTTGCTGGGATCCAGCTCCAAAGCATATCATTCTCTGGCCTGCCCATCCCACCTAGTGCTCAGGAGCAGCCAGGATCTTCTTTCTCTTTCCTTCACAGCTCAGATCTCCTCCCTGCCTGTGTCCCCTGACCTGTCTTTCCTCTCTTTCCATGGTGCCATCCCCTTGCGCCTTGGTCTTAACCACACTTGGCTCTCTCTGCTTCCTCTCAGTCACACCGCTGTGAGCAGTTTGCCTTCTGTGGCCCAGCTGTGAGTGATCCTGACCTAGACTCTACAATGAGGGCAGGTGGCTGTAGCTGGGCTCTGCTTCTGCTCCAGACCCTGTACCTAGAGGCCCTTGACAAACACAAGCCTAAGGACCTATGGTGCTCTCCACTCTGGGGATGTGCACATGTATGTGGGTGCCCATGGAATCCAAAAGAAGGTGTCAGATCCCTCAGAGCTGGAATTACAGACAACTGTGAGCCATCCAACATGGGTTCTGGGAACTGAGCTCAGGTCTTCTGCAAGAGCAGTAAGCGCTCTTAACCACTGAGCTTTCTCTCTGGCCTCAAGATTTTTTCTTTCAGTTTTATGTGTATGTATGTATGGTATATGTGAGTATGATGTTTGTATATGTGATGTGTGCTTATGTGCACATGGAGGCTGTCAGCCTGCAAGCCCATGCATGACCTTCCTGCCTCTGCCCCCACCCAAAAGAACAGGGGTTAGACAAACAGGTGACTACTCCCAGCTTTTTACATGGGTTCTGAGGACTCCGGTCCTTGTGCACTACGAGCACTGATGTTTTCTATTAGTCTCCATGCTGGCCTTGCATCCTAAAGGGAAAGAGCCTGAGGATCTCACTGTGGGAGGAGTGCCAGTTCATGCATGTGGGTAAGGCATGAGGCTGAGCACCTGGCCAATATCACATGCAGTCTACACTCCCCAGGGAGAGTGTCATCAGTGTCAGTGAGCTCATCAGCGCCATGAAGCAAATCAAGCACATTCCAGAACACAAGCTGATCAGTTTGGCCTCAGCCCTGGATGAAAATAAGGACGGCAATATCAACATCGATGACCTTGTTAAGGTGGGTCTCAATGAGGAATGAGCCAGGCGGGCTGGCCTGGCTGCTTTTCTGCTTTAGGGCCCAAGGGTTTGGGGAGGGCCTGCTTATTCAGAGCCTTAAGACTCTCAGGAAGGCACTAGAGAGATGGCTCAGCAGTTAAGAGACTGGCTGCTCTTGCAGAGGATCAGGGTCCAGTTCCCAGCACCCACATGGCAGCCCACAACTGTCTGTATCTCCAGCTCCAAGGGGATCTGGCACCCTCACACAGACATGCATGCAGATAAAACACCAATGCACATAAAATAAATACATCTTTTGGGTTTTTGGTTTTTTTTCTTTTAAAGACTGTATCAGGAGGTTGGGTCTGCAGGCCCAAGTGTCTCAGCCCTTTGCTGTCATTTGAAATCATACTGGAATTAAGAAGTTATAAAATGGCCTGCAGGCAGAATACTGTATACCTAATGAATAAATAAATCTTAAAGAAAAGTCATAAAAGTTATAGACATAATGGTGAGATAAAAAATGAGTCTCTGCCCTGCCACAGGCCCACTCCAGCATGTCTCCTTGTTCTGTTTCTACATGTACCATAGTATCCTGCATCCCTATTAGATCTGGGGAACAGGGTGAACACACCTGCCAGGACCCTTTTGGGAACTGCTGAGACCCGAGAGACTGAGTGGGTAGAGAGCATGTAGGGATAGTGGCTAAGCTCCGGGTACATCGGCCCACAAGTTGCAAGTCAGGGGACTTCTGGATTCCAGCCTGAAAATTATCATGGGCCTACTTAAATCATAAGTCATGTTTTTGAGGGGGAAAAAATTGCCTTCATGGTTCTCAGCACACCTGGCAAGTTAGTGATTTTTCTAGATAGAGCCAGAAATACTGGCTAATTACCTTTAGTTCCATTTCAAAAAAAGACACTATCAAACATCCATGCTGAGCATTTTCCACACTCTCCCCTCGGTCTTCATGACAGGAGCAGATATACCCCAATGCCTACCCTCTTGCTGCAACAGGGAAGTCACATTCAGGCCAGGTACTAGGTCTCCAGCAATATGGCAGGGCCATGCTGGCTGGAATAGGGACTTGATGCCACAGTCTTGCTATGAAGTACATGGCCTTGGGGGTCTGAGACTCAGTACCAGAGCAGCAGGAGGAACCCAGGCACCCATAGCATGCAGTGAAGTGGCAGTTGCCTGGCTCAGAGGAGCCAAGCCCTACTTCCCCGAGCTGTCCCCTGGGATGCAGAGGCAGAGCACCTCCTAAGCCCCCCTCTCCTGTGTGCGTAGGTAATCGACTTGGTGGACAAAGAAGATGTTCAGATCTCCACCACCCAGGTAGCCGAAATTGTGGCCACATTAGAGAAGGAAGAAAAGATTGAAGAAAAGGAAAAGGCCAAGGAAAAGGCTGAGAAAGAGGCCGCAGAAGTGAAGAATTAAAACTGCCTGGCTTTTGGCCCCACGGGGTCTGCCTTCATCATGCTACACCAACCACAGTGGGGTGACACAAGAGTGATTGCTTTGAGGGGATTCTTAGTGGCAAATCTAATATTTTGTCTGGAATAAATCAGAAGCTTCCATAATCAAGCAATTTTTAATTTTCATCATTCCATGAAGATTCAGTCAGGCTGAAGCCTTAGAGCCCTCTGGGTGATTGTGTCTGGACTCATGTCATGGTGTGGTACTAAATAGCCCTAACCGTTGGGTTAAGGGTACAGCCACAAGTAGGATCATAGCCTTACACTGACCCTAGCTCCAAAGGTAGCTTGGGCCAGCTAGGTAGGAAGGCATTTCCCTATGTATGTCCTTACTTGCTCAGGGTCTGACCAAGCCTGTCCCTTGAGAGGAGAGTGAGAACCACCTGTGTGGAGCCAAGTGGCTGTGCCTGCCTTTCCTCAGAGGCCTTGGGATAGGAACTAGAGAGACACAAATGCAGACCTCCTCTGCTCTGAAGACACTGGAGTCCGTCTAGGAACTTGAAACGCAGTGTACACAGATCTGTATGCTCACACCTCTACAGTTGTGTCTTAACTACTGGTCCCCGACAGCAGTGTCTGTCTTGTGTGGATTTTGAAGCATGTTGACTGGAATATTCTCAATTTACCATTGATCTCCACCTAACTCTTTAACTGACTAGTACTGAATTTCCACACATGACCATCCGCCTAGTTCATGAGTAATACCTTAATTAGTGAGTGACACACACTGAAGAAGCCTTTGAAACTGACATCTTTTCTACTGGGCAATCCACATTGCTGAGTCGGCTTCAGGGACGGAGCTGACATCTGCATCCTGAATATACCTGGGGTTCTATGTGGCTCTTAACATAAAATTTAAATCCTATCACAGGACAGTGGCCAAGATGGGCTTCACAAGGGTGTCTCAGCGTGTTGCAGACTCAAGCTTCTTTAGCACAAATGCTCATGGCTGTGCTCCTGCCACCAAGCAGTGAGGAAGTAGTCCTGTGGTACCTCAGAGCTTTCAGCCTAGTGTTCTCTGTCTGCTAATGGCTCACTGGCACCCCTCTGAGGAGAGCCTGCACTAGCTCAGAGTCCAGAGCTCTTTGCTTAGTGGCCAGCAACCTTTCTTATTTGGAGATGGCTCCTTGATCAGGCCAGAGTGGGGTATCCTGTGGCCTCACCCCCACCCTCCCAGTGTAACTCCATCCTAGGAGCACAGAGAGCAAGATCTTGAGTTCAGCTTGGGCAATTAGCAAGACTGTCCAGAAAAAAAAAAAAAAACCTGTCTTGGGACTCCAGACAGGATTTGGAAGATGTACAGAGGAGCAACTAGAATGGAACCTTCTCAGTTTCTTGAAACTTTTGTCTTAAAGGAAGCACGTGATGCTAACAAGAGTAAGATAATTCTCACATGTAAACCTGTTCAGAATTAGCAGTGGAAGGAGCCTAGTAAATGTATGGTCACATCTGTGAACCCTGGTGTACCCAGCAGCCTAGTTCCAGCTGTCAGTGTATACTTCTGAGAACAAGATTGTGGTTGTCAAATGTGTCCCCACAGTGGAGGGTCTGTCCAATAAGCAGCATTCTGGAGCCGGTCCTGTGTCTACCTATTGTCTTTATCCTTATTGTATTACTGGGCACTGTCAGTGACCCTGTGTTAGCTGTTGCTGGCTTAGGTATTTTCTGCTGTCCTGCTACTCTAGACTCTGCCCTCACAGGTCACCATGTCCCTGGAAGTGTGGGTTCACCCTGTGAGGTTGTCCGGCCTTAGCACACACATGTGCTTGAGGGTCTAGCAGTGGGTGCTTGCTTTGGTTTTTGGAACTATCTCCACATCTGCTTGTTTCATTGCTTGACTTTAGTACAGCTGGGTCAGGGTTAGAAATGGCAACCTTCAGTGGTGGTGGCGAACACCTTTAATCCCAGCACTCCAGAGGCAGAGACAGGTTGATCTCTGGGTTCAAGGGCAGCCTGGTCTAAAGAGCATGTTCCAGGACAGCCAGGGCTATACAGAGAAACCCTGTCTTTCTTAAACTACCACACCACCACCACCTCCTCCTCCCAAAAAGAAAAAGAACTACCAGGCTCATGACTGAGGACTGTAAATGAGCTCAGTATTTGGAAGCTGGCTGTGTTCAACTGTCGTAACTGCTGTGTACCTCAGTGCTTGCCCAGGGGGCAGATGTCCACACCTGTTAAATGAAGCTAGGGTTTATGACACAGGTATCTTGTGTTCTCTCCATTCTGAACCACCTCTGACACAGGACTTGGGAAGTTGGAGTCTGAAATCCAGGCTCCTTTTGGACTGTCAGCATAAATAAGGGCACCATGCAGTTCTGAAAACATCCTCATAGCCTTAGGCTGTGTCTCCTGGGACCATAGTAGAGGAACAAGTTCTGTATCCTCTTGTGACTTCCAGGGATCCCAGAGCCTCCAGCTGTGTCACATTTAAACATCTTCCATGTCCATGTAACAGCCCAAAGGGATACTTCTGAGTCCTGAGCAATCTGACTAGCCAAGAAATGGAAGGGAAGCTCAGGCCACCCTAAGCTAATGACTGTGCTGTGGGCACCAGGTGTGCTCAGATTTTAGAGGGACTTTGCCTTCCCCTCAGCCCTCAGTGAGTGCCAGCTCACCTTCAGGGGCTTGAGCCTTGGTTCCAGGCTCTTGCCTTGTGGGACCTATCTGAGGAGATCTGTACCCCTCACCCTGGTACAGCCCTGGTTTGTGGAGTCTGACAAGCAAGTATTTCTTAAGACTACAGGCTGACAGGGCCCTGTGAGACTGGCAGGCTGCCTGGAATGATGTTCTCTAAACAACTTGATGTAAGGAGGTGACTGAATAAAGTGCCACTGTTGACTTGTCTGCTGTGTAATGGTTTGTCTAGCTTAGTAGTTCTGACACCTAACCATGCTCTCCCAGCCTGCAGAGCCCTTTGGATGGCCTCAAAACTTGTTACCTCACAGCCCCACATTGTGCCTGTACAGGGTGGGCAGGAACTGGGACATTGGCTGAGTTCCAGGGAAGTAGAGCCTGTGCCCACACTAAGTGTCCTACTCAGTCTCTTGGACAGAATCCAGCCACAGGGGCATGTAGGAAGCAATAGACCCCGAGGAGGCAGCTTCCTAAGTCCCACCTTGATGCTTACTGTGGGGTGGCTCAGCTGGGAGGAGGGTCTGAGCAGCACAGTAAAGGTATAGTATCCATCCCCTGGTCTTCCCAGGACACTAGCCTGTAGCCATTCTTGGCTTCTTCTAGAATGCTTACGATTATATTGGTCCCCAGGATCAAAAGGTACAAGTTGCAGGGCAAGAGTAGGAACTGCTTGAGGGTGGGGACAGCCATTCAAAGGGCACAGCAAACATTCATATTTAGTAAGTAGAAATCCATTCCCCAAGTGACTTGAGGAAAGAGCCTTATATGCCAAGGAGTCGGTGTATGATTGTGCCCAATTCTCTCATTGGGAAAACAGGGTATTTGACACACAGAATCAGTTTTCTGACCTTCTTGGGAAGACAATTCCTTTTTAAAGATTTGTTTTGCTGCAAGTATGTATTGTACCATGTGCATGCCTACTACCCACAGAGACCAGAAGAGGTTGTCATACCCCTGGAACTGGAGTTGGTAGTTACTACCATCACGTAAGGTTAGGAATAAAAGCCAAGTCCTCAGAGCAGCAATTACTCAACTAAATCACTGAGCCATCTCTCCAGCCCAGAGAATAATTCTTGCTACTGGTCCTCAGACCACTGAGGACACAGTTACATGCCAGTGGATAAGCAGGAGTGTTCTGGGAGACAGCCTGTCCCTGATGCTAGCCAGAGCTAGCCAGGAAACCATCCATCACCACTGCCTCCCATATCCAAAAGGCAACAGTCAGATAGAGAGATTCCTCGAGAGGAGACTAGACACAGCAGGAGGAACCTGGGCTCAGTTAAGACATAGATTTGAATGCAAATCCAATGCTTGGTGGCAGAAGCCACTCACAGTTTGCTCTTTGGGCAGTGGTCACCCAGTAGATTCTGGCGGTACAGCCCAAGGCCCAAACCTCTACCTCTTCTAAGGTGGCAATGGGAGTATCATGGACAAGAGTGGCCTGACCTATGACCCCTGTCCCTCTCAAGACCACTTCTGTCACCATCGACCAACCCCTTGGTGTTCAAATCTTTCCTTGAACTTAAACCATAGGAAACTATGCTCAGCATGGCACTAGAGGGCGCCAGGTTGACACAGCTGACCCAGGCAGTGTCAAGCCTGTTTCAGGGGTAAGAATATATGCATCTCGTGCCACGCCCGCTCACACCCTCCCTCCCTGATCACTATCATCAGATGTCTGTGTGGCTCAAGTCTCAGGCATGAAACTGTCTGGAGCCCGTTATAAGGTTGCTATAGTCAACCAAGGAGAGCTAGGCCTACAGTTTCCTCTAAAACCCAGTACACCTCCCCAAGATCCAATTTCAGCTGTCTAGAACCAGGATTTCAGTCACCTTGGCTATGCAAGTCTCCTAGGTGGGCCTAGTTCTATCAAGATGTGGAACCAGAAAATTCATTCACTCCTCAGGTCCTCTGCCAAGGTTAGACAGCATGACAGATGAGACGAATATAGGAAGGAAATGCTAAGTTCTCTCTGCATTGTCCTGGGACTCGTTATATTGATTAGGTGGCTTCCAAACTCAGATCCCCTGCACCGTGCTTGGCTCAGTGTAGATCACTTAAGCAAGGGTCTGGCTACCTGGCTTTCCCAAAGAGATTACTACATATACTGGAAAATACCCTCTATCTTCATGGAATCCCTCCCCAGTCAAGACAGCCAGGAAGCTGGAGAGGCCAAGAGCACTTCCTCCACACACCCATGATCCCCTCCCCATGGACACAACTCTATTGCATCCTGTTTTTGGAACCTCTAGACCAGTAACCCTGAGGTTTTCCATGCCACCTTCAGCCACAGGAAGACACCCCTGAGCCCAGCTGTCCTTACCTGGGTAAGGAAAAGCAAAGACAAAAATTAGTCCCCTTGGAGCCTAAGACCAGCACCTTGCTCTAGAGACCGGAGGCTGCTGAGTGTTATCCCTCCTCGCCTGTCACCTGGCCTGTCCCCACAGGCATAAGGACGCAGCTGTACAGATCCCAAAACAGAAGGTAAAGCACTCTAAAACCAGAGCCAGTTCTCACTTTATTTTCCAGAAAAAAAGTTGGCTATGTTAAAATCACATCTGCCAGTGTGGGATGACAAACTGTGCTGGGCCCTAAAAAAAAGTCACCCTGAGCCACTGTCCTGGCCCTGCTGGCTAATAGGCAAGGGACAGCCACCCAAGTCTAGGGCCCAGTAACAGTGCAAAAAGTAACAAAACTGAATCCACCACTCTTACTCCCAAGCTTTGAAAGGTAGCAGTCTAGGCTATAAAGTCTAGAAGCACTGCATAGGAAGTGTTAAGCCTACAGCAAATACAACTTATAAAGACTCAATAAATTATATATAGATATAGATATAAACTTGTAACATCTATTAACATCTGAACCTTCAGGCAGGGCTGGCCCCTCCATGGGCACAGGCTTCTGCCTAAAATACATATTAGAATAATCTGTATGAAAATACCAGTCACCTTGAAGTTTTTTTTTAATCTCCTAAAGAAGGTCCTATATAAATCTAATCCCCCATGAAAGAGGGCCAAAGGAAATAAAAACTGCTCACTGGAGCCATCTCTAACTCTCGAGGGCTGCTTGAGGTCCAAGGGCTGCCTCCAGCCCTGGGGGCCAGATGCACATTCTCAGCAACCCCTGAAATTCAGCGTAAACCTCTTCAGCTGTTAATAAGTTACAACTTAAAGTTTCTGCAATACCCTGGAGCTAAATACTATGAACCTGGGGTGTGGGGCTGGGGCTCTGAGGGATGATAAATAGCTTTACAAATATACAGGTCCAGGTACAAACAAAACTGTAGTGCCAGAAAAGCCCCTTGCTTCTTGGCTTGCCCTTGGCATTTTACCAGTGAGCACTATAGGGTATCTTGCTCCTCTGGGCCTCAGCTTTGCCTACCTCCATATAGATATTCTTTTATATATATTTGTATGTATATATCATACAGGACATGTATTTATATAAATGTACATTTGCTTCTGGAATAAACCTTTCTGAAAGTTATGGCTCCCACCTTCAGGTACCCGTAATTTCAGTCTGTGGGTCAGGGTGATTAATAGAAGGCCTAGAAGTGGAGAGCTGTGACTCACCACCAAGCACAAGGTGCCATGTAGGAGAGAGGCTCACCACATAGGGCAGAGCTTCCCTGCAGGCTCAGCTTTGGGCACCAAAAGGGCCAAGGTTCACCCTGGACATGGAGTACAGCCCTCTCTACAATGGTCCCTGGGAGGTGGCAGTGGGGAAGAATGAGGGAGCCAGAACCCCAGGGTTGCACAGGGTGGGCCCTCTTACATTCTACATTTGGTGCTCCTGACCCTGGCCAGTCAGAAGACCACTGTACAGCAGTGCATGTTCCCAAGGGGCTCTGCGCCAAGGACGGACGGACACACACACACACACACACACACACACACACACACACACACACACACACACACACACAGGAATTCCTGTCTGCTGTTGGTCCATCACACTGGGCTGGCTGGCGTCCACTGCACACCAGCAGTAACAGGGCGGGCTAGGGTCCGCGTAAACATTGGCTGGGGCTTGGTCTGTAGGACTGTTGGCCCCTCACGTCTGAGGTCCCCCATTACTGGGTGGACCTGAGGGCAGCAAGTCATGGGTGAACACAGAGTCATCTCCTGAGGAGCTGGAGCTAGGAGTATCCTGGCCACCTGGCGAGTACTGCTCAAAAGGCACCGATAGGTCCAGGTATTCCTGTTGGTGAACAAGGCTGTCAGGACTGTGCCTTGGCACCCTCTTCAATCCCATGGCCATCTGTATTCAGACTGTGACCCTAAAGGGCAGTCCCACCACTAGAGCTCCAAGGAACACCACCCAGAGGGAGCAGGATCGAGTGGCACTTACATCAGTTGATGTAACAGTGAGGATGCGATCTAGGTCCTCTACCAGCTGCTTGAAGGTGGGCCTCTGTGAAGGTACTGCATGCCAACACTCCCGCATGATCATGTACCTGTGGCAAGTACAGCTATTGAGTTCCTGGCCTGCAGCCAATCCCTACCTCACCCCAGAGACCCTGGTAGGTTCCCTGCCATTCCCAGGGACTAGGGGAGGGATAAGCAAGGGACGCTTTGCTCACAGGTCATGTGTGCAGTTGGCTGGCTTGTCCATGCGGTGGCCCTCTTTCAATAGCTTGAAGAGCTCTTCCACTGGGATGCCAGGATATGGTGAGCCCCCCAGTGTGAAAATCTCCCAGAGAAGGACCCCAAACGACCAGCTGCAAGGGAGTGAGTACAAAAGGCCAGTTACTCCTGACTCACTGCTGCAGCAGCCCTGCACCAGTACACACCACCAATGGGCAAGAGGTGGGAGTACCAGGGTAAGAAAGACTCCAGGGCTTGCTCTTGGCCCAATGAGGGGATACATGACAGCCTGAGAAGACCAGGACCCTCCCCCCATACTATGTGGGGACACATACACATCACTCTGGTGGGTGTAGACTCGGTCAAACAGGGCCTCTGGTGCCATCCACTTCACAGGCAGCCGGCCCTGGACAGAGGGACAAGTATTGGCTCTCAAGTGTCCACCGGTGGTGCACTGCACCCAAACCACCCTGGACCGGGGCTCACATTTGTGGTCTTCTTGTAGTAGTCTAGATTGTGCACATCGCGGGCCAGGCCAAAGTCTGCAATCTTCATCACATTGTCCTCAGTCACCAGCACATTTCTGGCAGCCAAGTCTCTGTGAATGCACTGAGGAGACATACAAGGAACCTGGGCTAAGCTGACACCTCCCCAGCCCAGGCAAGTTTGACATTCACTCTTCCACTCAGAGACCCCCTCCTGGCCTGGGACCTGTCTGTGCTCACCTTCTGGGAAGCCAGGTATTCCATGCCCCGGGCCACCTGGTAGGCACAGGACACTAGATCCTTGCAAGTAAGCTGTTCTTCTGGCAGCCTGCAGGCATCAAAGGAGTAGTCCATGCCTGGAGGCCGCCGCGCCCGCAGGAACTCTCGTAAGTTGCCCTTGGCTGCATACTCCACCAGCACGTACAGGGGCCCTGGAAACACACGCAGCTGAGACGCTGTGACACGGGAGCCCCCATCCACCAGCCCGCCCTCCTGTTGCACCTACCACCCTGTGTGCAGGCCCCCAGCAGGTTGATGATGTTCTTGTGCTTCCCAATCATCTTCATCATCTCCATCTCAGACACCAGGTCCGACAGGTCCTTGTCAGTGGCATCATCTGTGCCAGGAACAGGAGTGTCAGCTGATGGCCCCACAGCCCTCAGATGCCCTTCTCCTTCTCTCCCTTCTCACCTTTCAGCATCTTCACAGCCACTGTGACAGGCTTGGCAGTCCGGTCCTTGTCAATGCCAATAGCTTCTGCCATGACAACCTGGCCAAAGCAGCCTTCTCCAAGAGGCTTACCGAGTGTTAGCCTGGCCACAGAAACAGGGGCAGTGAGTGTGTGCCCAGAACTCCCAGGCCTCATAGTCATGTGCCATTGTGTCCTGGAAGCCCTATGGGCATTTGCTAATGAAGACCAAGAGTAAACCTCAAATCTCACCCCGCACTCCTCCTGAGGAACATCTCATCCCACCTTCAACAGGTCCCTGCCCAGTAACGATCTAGCCCCCAGTCCCAGAACCCCCACCAAGTATACACTAACCCCCACCACCACTGACCGGGTCCTGGATAGCTCCCATTTGGGGTCAGCAGGCAGCTCAAGTTCAGAAACATTGGCCAGAACAGGACCTTCTCCAGAGGACAGCCGGGCGATGCGGACCAGGGGTGTGTTGGAGTTCATAGAGGAGTTGGATTCCAAGGATACCTGCTTGGGTCATCAGGGACAGGTTGGTACCACACAATGTGGGCTGAGCACTGGAAGAGCGGTAAGGCAGTATAGCCACTAGGGACAGCAAGGCCAAGTCCATGTAAGGCAGAGTGCGGGGGTCAAAGAAAGGGCTGACTGCTCTGACTTCTATAAAGTGGTGACTAAAGACCACTAAAAAATATTTTACACCTCAGAATTTGGGCTCCATGTGGAGAACAGAGATAGGGAGGATCAGCCCACCCAACTGCAGAGAAATGAATCCCAGGCAGGCCCCAGGCCCTGGGTACTACTGGGACTCTAGGAAACCCAATGCAGGACAGGGAGTTCAAAACCTGGTATCTACTTTCTGTTACCTGTCGCTTAAGCGGGAAGCGAGAGACCTTGTGCACGGTGGGCGAGCCCAGGCCCTTTTTGGGGGGACTGCGAAGGCGGCAGAGCGTCACAGTTGCCACCACCAGGATGAAGAGGAAGAATCCCACCCCATAGCTGAGGATGCCTGCGTACACGCTGCCAGCCTCGTTGACTTCCATCAGCTCCTCCTCAACTGGAAAGACACAAGTTTGGGGGCCTTGTCCAGCCTTCTCAGGCTTCCCACCAGCTGGACACAGGCACCGGTGGGGGAGGGAAAGGACCTGGGATACTCAGAGATGGGGGGCCAGGGCCCCCACTTGCCTTGATAATATAGTCAAAAACATCTGAAAGCCAGCATGGCCAGACCCAGGAGAGAAGCTCAGCAGAGTCAGAAGCACCCACACCGCCACCCGGGCACGCAGGAAATGCCAGAGCCTCAGATCACGACTGTGGGCACCCAACTGGAGGATGAAGGGGAAGCCCTTGCAAGACCAAGCACAAGGCTGGGGTGAGTTTCACAGGATGAGTAGTACTAAGCCATAAGGTGCCCCTACAGTCCCCAGTGGCTTTGGCATGTCCTGAGCCAGCACCCCAAGAAGACAGGTGCAGCGTGAGCAGAAGCCAGTACCTGGCAGCACCACCAGCCACGCAGAGTGATGGGAAAACCCGATAGAATTGCCTGCCAGACAGGTGTACTCCCCCGCGTCCTCAAAGGTGACATTGTGCAAAGACAGAACTTCTAGCTCCTTGTCCGTGGTGTTAGCGCCTGCTGTCTACAAAGAGAGAACAGAGCGCGATAGGCAAGCGCCAGCACTTCCCTTTGGGTACCACAGCATTCCACACGGAGATGATCCAGCCAGGCTGCAAGGAAAACGCCGCCACCACCACAACCTTGGCCACCACCATGGCCCTGCCACAGACAGCCACGGAGGCCCAGGGCCCCTGCCTCCTGCACTGAGGCACTGAGCCTGAAGCCAGTCCCTCCACCGGTGGCGAGTCCTCTGTCCCAAGGTGAGCAACAGGCAGGTGGGCAGCATGGTGCCACACAAAGGCAGCATGCAGAATTAGTGCAGAGACAGGAGAAGAACAGATGGAAAGACAGGCAGATGGATGGATGGATAGGAAGCCAGAGGGCATCAGAGTCAGCCAAAGATGAGGGTACAGTCGATGCTCAGACAGCACAGGGCTCAGCCCCTGGCAGGCTCTAAGGATCTCTAAGTGTGCAAGTGGGAGATGCAGGAGGACATCACAGTCTGGGGGGCCTTGAAGCAGGTGGTCAGTCAGTGGTAGCCGGGGCTACCAGTATTACTGAGGCATCACAAGGAGAGTGCGAGCCGCAGGCAGGGTCAAGCAGGACAGGGGTCGTGCAGGGCATGCAGGCAGGTGCATGGCTGGAGCGTTGGAGCTGGAGCTCAGCGTGCCAGGCAGGCATGGGACAGAGTCGTTACCTGCTTGAGGCCCGTGAACACGCAGCCAAAAGGCCTTCTCAGCCACGCCTATGAAATTGGTGGCTCGACAGAGGTACTCGCCCCCGTCCCGCTCCGACACATTGGCCAGGCGGAGGCGTGCGTCTGCCTCCACATTCTCACTGATCCAGGACTGCGGGGACAAGAGACTGGGCTCAGGCACACCCCGAGCCAGCTCCAGAAGGACATGAGGATGAGGCAGGGCAAGGGAGGTCCCCAAGGATGGGCTGGGGGTTGGGCAGCAACAGCTGGAAGGCTGCCTGGAGGAGAGGCACATCGTGGCAGTAGTAGGCGTGGTTTTAGAGAGGCCTTTCCCCATATCCACAACCACTGCCCCCCCTCCTATCCACCCCCCCCACACACAGAACCCACCGCCTCCAAACCCTCAACTCAGGGGCTGTGTCAGGGAAACTAGATGTACTCGTGAACATCCACAACCATGGTGGGATGGGACAAAGTCCCAGTGGTCTCTCTCAACAGCCAGGATGTTGTTCCTGCCAGTGCCTATTCCCCTCCCCCCACCAGACCTCCTTGTCTCTGAACAGATGTTTCTCTTTGGGCTTCTAGTGTCGCAAAGTCCCAACTCGGGTGGCCCCCACCCGAGGCCAGGGAACAAAGCTACAGGCAGACAGAGGCAGGACAAAGCCAGTACTACATTGCAAGCAGATGACACCAGCCAATCCAGGCCAGCTGGGGAGTGTCTAGTCACTCTCTGGGATCCAGAGGGCACTAACTCAGCACTCAGCCTCCTGCCCTGAGCCACCATAACTGTCACTCAAGAGAAGCCTTCTGCAGGCCCAGCCCTTGGAGCAGACTGGGCAACAAGTCTCGTGGCCGGACACAAGTAACACAGAAACTGTCTGGAGCTCAGAGCAGGTGAGAAGCACTCAGAATCACTATCCTCAGAAACTTCAACACCTGGGCCAAGATCCCAACATGTCCCTCAGACAAGAGGGACTTATGGGCCAGGGCCAAGACGGCCCCAGCTGACCCATCCACCCTCCCGCAGATGGCAGCAGAGCCTACCTTGAGTACAGTGACGTAGGGAGTGCCATCAGGGCCCACTTTGCTGCCATTGACTTCCACGTGCTTCAGCCACTGGATGTGGGGCTGGGCATCGCTATACACCTTGCAGTGGAACTCCACGTCACTGCCCAGAACGGCTGTCTGGTTGGCGGGCAGCCCGGCCTGCAGGATGGGCCGGTGTGGGGAACGCTCTACAAGAAGTAGCCAAGTCAGGGGCAGTGGGCCAGGGGGCCAGGGATGCCCTGCCTTAACCACCCGGCCGAGCCCTCACCCAGCACATCCAGAGTGTATGTCTGCCGGATGCTGCCAAACTTGTTCTCTACCACACAGGTATAGTTGCCACGATCAGAGGGCACCACACTCTCCATGACCAGACTCCACTGCTGGTGCCGAAGCTACAAGCAAAGTTAGTGTGTGAGCAGGTACAGACTGTACCGTGTCCAGGCCCTGCCGCTCCAGGCCCCATTCCCAGGCCCACCTTGATGCCCCCTATGCGATGCTCCCCTCGGAATTCTCTGCCGTTCTTCAGCCAGGAGATGGACGGGGTAGGGTTGCCAGCAGCCGGGCAGCGGAAGCGTACGGTGTTTGCAGCTGGCACAGCCAGCAGTTTCTTATCCATACGCTCTGGTCGAGTCCAGTAAGGGGCCCCTGGAGGCAGAAGTGTCCTGACAACTGTGATTCGGGTCACTTTTCCCAAACTGCCCGCCCAACTACCCTCTAGGCTGCTTCCCCTTCCCAGAGTCCTTTGCTTTGACTGAACAGGCTCCCTGAAACCTCAACACTATGCAACAACAGCTGCCCCAATCTCAGGCTTGGGCATGTCTTCTTGCCCTCTGGCACAGGCCCACAGCTGCAGGTCCCCCAGAAGGCAGAATCCAGTAGGATGCAGACCCTGGGAGATACTAGACCAGATTACCCCACCCATTTGCAAAACCCAAGCCAGCCTGTGCAGTGTCCAGGGCCTGGCAGACACTTTGCAGGTCGTTTCCCATCCACTGACTTCCCTTCCTTCTTCTGGGCTGGGACTCATGAAGCAGCTGAGGGACACAGCAGGGATCCAGGACAAAATAGGGAGGCAGGGCCCCCTTCCAGTGACCTCACTGTACTCTACCACAGGATCATGAGCAGCTCTTGAAGTAGGAACCACCACACAGGATACGAGAGAACTCTGCAGACATTGGTGAGGGCCCCTCCCAGGATTCCAGATTGGCTAGTGAGCTTGGCAGAAGACTGCCACACTCCGAATCTTCAGTGACCTAAGGCTGCCCACTGACTGCTCGGCATGATCCACAAGGTGACCCTTCAGTTTCCTCATGGCCTAAGCCCATGTGCGACACAAACACCAAATACAGCCTAGAAAGGCTAAGACAGCAGAAGCAAGCGTAACTCAGGGCAAGGGTACTGGTAATGTGGCTAAGAGAACCCGTAGAGCAACTGGATTAGAAATTTTGCTCTAAGTAACCTTGTAGCCAAAGGGAAATGAGAAGCCAAATAACTCCTCAGGACGGTAGCCTTTGTTGGCTTCACTCCTAGATTCCAAACCTATTTCTGTGTAGATTCCATACTCTAAAATCTCATACAAGCCCCTTTATCTATTCTCCTTGCCCCCACAAACTCCTGAAAGTCATTCCCTTGTTTTTCTATCAATTTTGTCTCTGATTTCTCTCACTACCTTGTTCCCACTACCTCAGAAGTTTCCAAATGGTCCAAGCACTCAGTCCACACAGCCTAGTTAGTCTCCCCTGCTATAGCCACACATACACCATCTGTGACACCACCACCCTACAGTGTATGTATGCCTCGGTATGGCACAGCCACTCCCCTCCTGCTGGCCTAAACCAACAGCCGCTGGTGCTACTTGTTCCTCAACAGCAACCTGAGCTCCATGGCTGACTGGCTGTACTCAAACCTGAGATGCCCCTTCCCATTAAGTCAATACCAAAATCCCTGCGGACCAGCCCTGTCTCCCCACTGCTCCTGTAACTACAGCGATGTTACCTTCCAGCCACCAAACTGCAGGCAGGAGGCAGCCCAGCCTGATCCTGCCTAGATTCTAATCTCACCTGTATCTTCAGCCACGTCCTCCCCATCTTCGTCATCTCCTGAAGATGGAGCATCTGCAACAGTTTTAAGTAGGGAGTGGTTCTGTGACACCCCACAATCAAGAGGCCTGCTGTTCCCCAAATTTTGGGTCCACTGTTCTCTGCCTTTGGGGTCCTACCTTTGCAATGCCTCCCATTCGGATAGTACGTACTTGGGGGTACCTACTCCTATCAGCAGCCAGCAACTTTCTTATGCAAGGGATACTGCAGCCATCCTGCCCAGGACTGCCCTGGCTATGCAGCTACTCAATGCACTTGACAACCCCACCCACTGAGCACTTACCTGTTATACGCACACTGAAGTCGCACAGCACACGCTGAGTGAGCCGCTGCTGGCAGCTGTAGACCCCCGCATCCTCATGGGAGGCATTCAGCACTTGAAGCCTCTGGGGCCCCACCAAGATGCGGTGGGAGGCCACCAGCCCTGTGCCATCCTTAGCCCAGACAGTGGGACCTGTGGGGGCACCTCCAGGCAGACGGCAGCTTAGCTCCACGGTGTCCCCACTTCCAAAGGCCACCTGCTCCTGCTGGCTAGGCTCAGGCCCTGGGACCTCTGTGGATGAAACGGAAAGCTGTGAAAGATTCTTCACAGTAGCACTTTACTTTGTAAACACACTAGTAAAGGCTGTGGCAGGCAAGTGAGGGGTGTGCTCCTGGGGCCTGGGGGCCTGCCAGACAATGTTGAAACCAGGGGTGGGCAAACCATTTCAGTAAGAGCCCAGTGGCATCAGTAACTCAGCTCTGTCAATGGTCTGTGCTAGGGCTTCTGGCTGTCTTGTAGGAGGACACAGTCTTCCAAAGATGACATGGGATCTTAAGTGTCCCAAAGGGTGGGGGACAGCTCCACGGTACAACACCTCTCTGGAATGTCTAAAGCCCTGAGCTCATTCCCAGCACCAGGAAAGTGTCACCAATTCTTCCTCCTCGGATTCTCCCACCATCTGGAAATGTGCAATCAACCCTTAGCTCACAGGGAAGCACAAAAGCAGGTTGGGGACAGGCTGTCCTTCGCTGTCCTCTGGCTCAAAACTCAGAGGAGAAATAGGAAGCCTTTCAGGGCCCTCTTAGCACCCAACCCTCATCTTGGCTTCTGGAACAGTATGGGTGGGGAGCCAGAGAACAGAACACACTTGAGCAATAGGAAGGAGAGGCTGGGTACGGTGGCTCACACACTCGGAAGGCTGAGCGAGGTATGACTGCCACAAGCTCAAGGCCAGCAGGCTAGTGTGAGACTGTCACAAGTAAATTAATAGGAAAGATGACACAGGTCATGCGAGAACATGGGGGACAGCCCTTCTCGAATACTCCACAAGAGCTGCTGTTCACAGGGCCTGCGTGGCTCCACCACCAATCCAAGTACTTAGAAACATAGGACAGGTTTACAATAAGGACAGGAATCTGGATACTTGGGTCTCTGGTGACTGGGATAAAGGACCCAATGAGCTCATAGAGTGGCTGAGGACATTGGACCCCCATTTCACAAATAAGAACCAGGTTTGGAGGGGCTGTCAGAGTGGCCTTGTGAGCCAAGCGGAGTCAGCCACCCACTCTGAGGGTAAGAAATGAGTAGTATAGCCCCTTAAAAGGGCAGACCCAGGTAGCCACACATCTCTCCCCTGCCCAGCTCAGGAGGGTGCCCAGAAAGACCTCACACTCAGGGACTCACTACCAGCTGGGCTATCACCTCCAGACCTCTCTGCCAGGATCCAACAATGCCCATCACAGGGGCAGCTGGGCTCAGGGCCCAGGACAGGAGTGGGTGGTCCTGCTGAGCAGACCTCCTTCTTCAGATCCAGCTGGACTGGCTATAATGTCACTTGTCATTCTGCCGACGCATGGCCTAGATTCAAGGCCCAGCTGTCCACTCTGGCCACACCAGTCCTTGGTCAGCCCACAGGCTCAAAGTCCACCAGGATTCTGACAGTCAGAGGGACCCAGGTGACCCTGGGGCATCCATGAAGCTCATGTCCCACAGAATCCCAGAGCTTTAAGCTGTCCTGGATAGCCAGAGGCTATCCATAGCCAGGAACCTTCTATGCTGACCACCCAGTGCTGGAAGCTGTGTGAGCCCCTCACCCCCACCCCAAGAAGGCCAAAAACAGGCTAGTCAATAGCTTTAGTCTAGGCTTTGGCCCAAGGGCAACAGCCAGTTGGTTCCGGTTTGGTCTGGCCATGGCAACAGGTCACACCATTCACACAAGTATTTGCTTTAACCTAACCCAGAGATGCAGTGGAGAAGGACACAGCAGCCCCCCCCCCCCCAGGCCAGCCCCTTGGAAAGGCAGATGGCTGGAGGTTTGGGATGGCTCAGCCAGTTGAGAGCTGATCTTTGGCCTGCCCACCCATCTCTGTCCACTAGGAGCCAGCAGAGACCAGACACCTGAAATGTGGAGGCCTGGGGTATCCACCACCATCACCACCCCAGGGTCACAAAGACTAGGGGAACTTGTGTCTAAGTCAAGCAGGTAACAAGGAAAGGACAGAGCAAGACGGTGCTTGAGGCAACGCAGAGCATGGTACACCCTGAGGAGGTAGCAGCAGAGCTCTGGCCAATGGACTCCAGGAGTATACAGTAACTTTCTAGGCCCCGTAACAGACACAGGACCAAATGCAACACACAGGCACTGGTACTTGTGCTGCGCCCACCACATGAACTACACAGCACCTGTCCCCACTGGTGTCCCCATAACCACACGGTACTGAGGCAGGCTAAGAGACACTGTGTCCCAGTCAGCCTGTGCTGGGTCTGCAGTCTCCCAGACTACCTCAGTCCCTTCACTATGACAGTGTACAAATCCCAACTTGCAGACCTGAAGTGCAGAAAGGCATGGTCAAGTGGCTAGAGCCGGTAAAAAGGTGTATGGAAGTCGGGTGGTGATGGCGCTCACTTTTAATCCCAGCACTGGGGGGGGGGCAGAGGCAGGTGGATCTCTGTGAGTTCAAGACCAGGCTGGTCTACTATAGCGAGTTCCAGGACAGCCTCCAAAGCCACAGAGAAACCCTGTCTCAGAAAAAAAAAAAAAAAAAAGAAAAAGAAAAGAAAACCACACAAACAAAAGAAGTGTATGGGTATGAGGAGAACCTCTGCCTAGGCATCTTGAGTAAGACCATGTAGTCAGCCCACAGTGGACCGGCTGTGCATAGGACTTGATAAGCAGTTCTGGTCACTACTGTTGAGACACAAGGTAACACCACAGAACTAGGCATCAACTCCAGCCCTGTTTCTGACGTTGGTTGTCCTAAGGACTCCAGAGACTTGGGCTTTGGAGCAAGACCAGGACCGGATGCAGGCAACGTCTGCTTTGATGGAGGACACACACAGCTGATGTAGGAACAACCGAAGAGAAAGGAGGGTGGCCCAAGGAACCCTGAATCCAAGGAAGGGTCTCTTGCCTTCCTCTCCTTCCCGACTGGCCACCATTCCACCAGGAGACATTCCAGTTTCCACAGTTTCGTAACAAAGTCAAGAAAGAAAGAAAAAGAATCCAGAGGCTGGGCGGGCTAATGAGGGTTTACTGGGGATTATCTGGTTTAATCCCCGAAACAACTCTGCCATTACCAGTCCTCTCTGGCAGGACAGGTGAGGAAACCTAAGTTCTAGGAGGGTACCCAAGCCTAGGCAGGTCTCAACTTCAGATGGCTTTACTCACAGCCCAGTCATTCTCAACCTTGCCGAAGGCACCTTTCCGTAAGACCTCACTGTACCCCAACCCACCGTGGGGTAATTCATTTGTCTTCTAGGCACAACTGTTAAAAAGGGGGTGGGGGTGGGTTCCAGGTCCCACAAGCTCCAAGTAAACAAGAGGCTGCGAGGACAAGGTGCTCCCAGGCTCAGCATTCAAAGCTTCAGGGCCTAAGATCAGCTCAGGTTAATGAACCACCGTGAGAGGGACTGCAGGGCTCAAAGTCCAGCCCTGAGGTGGCTGGGGGGGGGGGCAGTGCGCACGACACCCGCAACGCCCAGGGAGGTGGAAGGCTCGGCTCCTGTCACCCATTGCTACAGGCCCGCGTGGGGGTCAACCCTGCGGGGCTACTCTCTACACAACAATGCTTACAGCCGGGGTGGCCAGGGTAGACTGCAGCTTTAGCCCCGCCCCACAGCTCTTGACCCCAGCAGCCAGCTCCAGTTGGGTAATTTATGTTCCTGGGGAAAGCGCCAGCCGAGACCTCTGTAAACTTCACCAGGTCTTTGTATTTTTACTGCCCAGCCCATCTCGTTAAGGAACCGGATTAAGTTTATTGGCCTATCAATTCCCTACCTGTCTCACCAGCTCCAACGCAGAGATGCGGGGCGGGCGCACACCCCACCGATCCCCGGCCACCCAACTCAACCTCGGTTCCTGCAGCAGGGTCGTGCCAGGCCGCCAGAGTCACTGCCTGGAGCACAGAAAAGGTGTGCGCTCCGCCCCGCCGCCCCTACCCTAGCTCAACTGACACCCGGCGCAGGGAGTAATATCTTCATCTGAATGCACATGCTAATGTGGTTCAGTCGCCGGCCATTCGGCGCCCGGGAGCCAGGCCGTCCTAGCAGGAGCTAAAAGCGCGCGCTGACCTCCCGACCGCCTCTGTCACGCCGCTGAAAGACACGCACATTCAAGCTACGGGCCAATTTCATTCACAAAAAAAAAAAAAAAAAGACATTGTTCTGTAAAGCTGCAGCCGCTGAGGGAGGAAGGGGCGCGGGGGCGCCGGGAGGGGCACGCCGCCATCTGCCTCGTCCCGCTGCGCTAGCCGCGCTCGCACCTCCCCGAGAGGCCGCGCCGCCATCAATGCGCGGTCTGTGGCCGCCGGGGTACAAAGGAGCGGCTGTTCCGCCTCAGCTCGGGTGGGGCAAAGCTTACCGAGCGAAGGCCTCCCTCCGCGAGGCCTCACGCCAGACCACTGCTCTGCTTTGCCACGCTGCGGCTGGGCACAACCAGGGGCCGCGCGCCTCGCACCTCCCGGAGGCGCCCGGACTCAAGGCTGACTCAGGCCGTGGCTCCCTCCCGTGTCCTCAGCCTCCTGCCCCATCTGATGGTACTCGGTGTCCCATCGGACTTTGGCGGCCGGCCGGGCTACGCAGGCGGCGCCACGATCCTGGGACAACCGCCCGTCACCTCCCGGAGTGCGGCTTGAAGGGCGGTCCGTGGGCGCCCCTGGGAACCGACCCCTCAAGCCGCCTACAAAGATGAGAGAGGAGCGCCGGAGCTGAAGCTGTCACCTCGTCGTGCCAGACACTGATCTGAACTTTGGCTGGGATACTTCTGTCCACTCCCTAAGTACAACCTTCACTTTGGCCAAAGCTGAGCGAGACCTGTGCCGGGAGAACGGAGAAACCGACAACCGAGACTTTCCGTTCTCTCAGATCACAATGGGAATCGTGGAAAATCGCTCGCGCGCCTTCCCGACGCGGCCCGGCTGTGGACCACGGCCACCACGCAACGCACTGCTCGCCGTGGCGCCTCGCACTTGGATGGTGGCTGAGACTCCAGACACACCATAAACTGCCGCTCCGAATCTGACAGCGATCTTCGGGGCGGGGTACAGAACCCGGGCGCACTGGCCCCCGTGGTGCTACTCAACCTACGCCCCCTCCTCACCCAATGGCCGTTCGCAGTTCCCAAAGCCTCTGTGGGCCAGGATCGGCCCCCCCGAAGGACACCTTGGGTCGGTCCTTACCTGCCGGTCTCCGCACAACTCGCTGCTCCGGGCCGGGTGGCTCAGAGGTAGCTCCGGCCACGACCGCAAAGAAGAACGCTAGCACGCAGGCCGGGACTACCATGGCTGGAGCGGGGCCGCGGCGTCTTCAAGCCGCGAACGCGGGCATGCTGCACCTCCCCGCGCCCGGCTCCGACGCCGGTGGGAAGGCGCCGCTCCGGGATCTGCGGGAGGAGAGCACTGCGTTCGTTACTTAGAAGGGCAGCGGGGGGAGCGCGGCCTCGCTCCTGCGCCCGGACCCCCGGCTGCTCCGCCCGCCGCCTCCCTGGGCTCCCGGGCCGCCTGGCGCCGGCCGCCTCCTCCCAGCCGCGGTCTCTCCCTCCTCCCCCTCCCTGGCCGCCGCAGAGCCCTCCCAGGACGGCGGCAGTAGCGGCAAACTTTGCAGATCGGAAAGCCGGTGCCCAGCCCGGCCTCGCCGCACGCACGCACCACTCTAGTTGCAGCCCTCCTCACGCCTTGACTGCTTCACCGCCCGCCGGGTCCCTCCAAGCGCCAACCGGGACTTTCACACCAACCTGGCAGCCGCTAGAGCCGGGCTCACTACGCGCAGCTCCGGCCTCGGCTCTTCTCTCCCAGTGGCCGATCCTCCAGTGAGTCCCAGCGCAGAGCGGACCTCACGGAGCCAGCTGCTCCCGCCACCACAGAGCACTGAACTCCGGCTGCCCGGCGCGCGGCAGCCAGTGGGGGGCGGGGGGGACGGGGACGGCCTGCTCCCGCCACGCCCAAAACACGCCCCTTCCCGGGCGGCCGAGGGGCGGAAGATCCGAGGAGGCGTGGTCATGCGGGGGCGCCGGGCGGTCCCGGAGGGCGTGGGAGCCCGGCTGGGACCCAGCGGGCAAGGCCGAAATCGCACACTCAACCCCTCGAAGCAATCAATGGTCTAACTCAGGACTGTCTGCCAGCAGCTCCTTTGTCCAGTAAGACGAAGGGACTCAGAGGGGTGACCTCAGTGGGGGTCCAGGTATTAAGGCGGCTTCACAGTGATCCGGCCCCCCCGGAGCTGAACCCTGTGCAAAGAGTCATAATTCCTGGCGTGCAGAGCCTGATTGCATTTCAGGTGGATAAATGGGTGTGAAGCGGCCTCACCGTGAAGGATGGAGCAGAGTTTACAAGACGATGGTGGAAGGCGCAGGGATCGCATCCTCGAAAAGGAGGGCACATTGCTGTGTTTCTCAAACCAACTGGTGGCCCGCCGAGGGGGGGGGGCTGATCACACTTCCCCAACAAGATACAAGTTCGGAAGTGAACTTAACTGCCCAGACTCAGAATAGAATAACAAGAAGAGTTGGGGATACCAGGTGGAAGAGCCTGCCCTGTCCTAGAGCTGCCTGAACTCCATCCAGCCTGTGGAGCTTCGAGGGCTGCACATCCATCCGGGACACACATTCCATCTGGGGAGTGTCACACTGACAGCTGGTCCCAGGAGGATCAGCCTGGCCACCCCGTCATGCTGACAAGCTGTAGGTGCTGCCTTGCAGACTCTAAAACAGCACCCACCACCACCCTGTTGACTGGCGGCTTCTGTATCTACCCTCACAAGGCAGGGAATCTTAACCTCAGTCAAGCAGCCACGTAGGAAAGAAGGTGGTGTCTTGGCTCAATGCTTCTGCTCAGTCTGGCTGTGTGTGGCTTGAAGGACTCACCTTGCACATCAGAAAAATGGAAAGTGGAATCCCAGCACTCGGGAGGCAGAGACGGGTGGATCTCTGTGAGTTTGAGGCCAGCCTGGTCTACAAAGCGAGTTCCAGGACAGCTTCCAAGACAATACAGAGAAACCCTGTCTCAAAAAACAAAAAAAACAAAAAACAAAAAAAAAAAACAGGAAAGTGGGCCATGAAAACTTTTCAGTGGCTCCTTGATCACTCTGTCTGTCCCAGATCTCTGAGCAGGGCTCTGTTCCCAAAGCCCTCATGTTCCTGCTCATTGCCCACCCTATAGCTCTGTACCCTACTGTCATTCATGTCTTCTGCTCTTCTGGCTAAGCACACCTCCCTGCAGACTGGCTAGAATCCAGGCCTGGGTCCCCATGCCACCCTCAGGTCCTCTCCCATGATGCCACCCCAGGGGGTCATAGCAGACATTCTCCACTGATCTATTGGCAGATTAGTTATCAGTAAATGAACCAGAATGTGAACTCTGACTCCTATTTCCACCCCCCCTTCCTCTGGAGGATTTACCAGAACCCTCCACATCCTGTGCCAACTGGGAGCTGAGCACCCTTCCAAATAGCATTCATTCTGGCTATCTCCTTGGTAGAAACACGCAGTCGGGACTCCCAGGCCAGTGGCGGTTCTCTGAACCCTGTGGCCCAACAGACCATACCTTCCCAGGCTATATTGCTTTCCGGCTTCTAGGTAGATTTCGCCATGCAGAATAGAGGGCCCCATACAGGGCACTTCTCTGCCCCTCCCCAACCCTATGGTCAGGCACTGGCCAGCTCTAGTGGACCCCTGCTCAGTTGCAGCAGTGTGGGGGACTAGTCCCCTTCTTCAAACATTAGCTGTGTGAGGTTCACAGTTTGTATTCCTGTCCTGAGCCTACTACCACTTTAAGACATGGTTGTCTTAAATTTATTTTCACAATTCAGGACAACAGAAGCCTGAGGTCAAGATGACCTGGCTGGCTGTGGGCCTTTACAAGAGGGTTCTTCCTGCCTGTGACAACCAAGACCTCCAGGCATCCTTGACTTACGGCTGTATCACTCTAGTCTCTGCCTTCACATGGCTTCTTCTGTGCCTTTGCTATATCCTCCATCTCTCATGAGGACACTTGTGGTTGGATTTTGGGCTGTCCATAAAGTGCAGGATGACCTCACCTCAAACTCCTTCCCACCATTACGCTTGCAAGACTCTTTATCAAAATAAGGTCACACTCACAGATCCCAGGAGCCAGTGTGCAGACCTACCTTTGGGGGAGCCACCTTCTGCCCACTAGACACCTGGGAGTTCCTGATCCTTTGATGTCATGCACATCCTGACATGGCCTGAGTGTTAAGGATTCTCCAGCATGCCTGTCACTGTCTGGTGGCCCTTACATCAAAAGAAGCGCAGCATTCTGAGATTGTACCGGTTCTGCAGAGTTGATCCCAATATGGTCCCCATGAACCAGCCTCAAGCAGCTGCAGCTCACTTGGCCTTACCCTTAGACCAGGACATAATTCCTAGAAGGTATGGTCTATTGTCAGGGGGCTTTTTGGGTTTGGTTTTGGTTTTGAGTTTTTTGATACAGGGTTTCTCTGTGTAGCTTTGGAGCCTGTCCTGGAACTCGCAGAGATCCGTCTGCCTTTGCCTCTCGAGTGATGAAATTAAAGGTGTTCGCCACCACCGCCCAGCTCAGTGTGAGTTTTCTTGCACAGAGTTGTTCTTCCTAGTCAGTGGGTTCAGCAGGAGTCCATCTGCTTCCCAGAGAGCTACACAAGATGAGGCCGAGCCCACCATTCTCTACTCTGGGCCCCTCAGCTGAATACCAGGCTGTTACTAAGACTAGGCTCTGAAGAGGTGGGTCTCTTTGACCCATGGCAGAGTCCCCGGGAACAGGGTTGGAGCCTGCAAATAGTCAGTCCTGATGATGGGGGAGGGACTCACGATGCTAAAGCCCCCTTCCACGTCTCCACCTCCTTGCCCACTCTCTGGGACGCCATTGTATTTTAAGCCCCACCGATGGATGGAGTCTTCATTGTAGATGAGCAGGGCAGAGGCCAAGTCAGGCACATGAGGAACAGCTAAGGGACTCAGAGCTGGGTGGCCTCAGCTTTCTGGAAAGGGACTGTGGGGGTGCACCAGCTGCATGTGACCTGGAATGGAATCCCCACAGGCTGGAGTAGGCAGCCTGACCTCCCCAGCCAGGCCAGGGCTGGCGCTGTGGAAACCCGGGGAAATGGCAGCAGAGGACTCTCCTCAACAGACCTGAATTCACAACTCACCCCTTACCACAGGGCTCCTGGCAGCTGGCAGCTGCTATAGGCCACAATGGGAGTCCCGGGATCCTGCCAAGCTTGCCTTCAGGTACGGTACCTGGTCTAGAAGGGGGCTGCTGCCATGAGGCTCCACGTCCTTCAAGACAGAAGGTTTTCAGAGTCCCAGAGCTACTCTGCCCCTCCTAGGCGTCCCCATTTTCTCAAATATGGTGGTAAATATCATTGCTGTGTGCTGATGGGCTCAGGAGATAGTTAGCACCATGCATAGGGGGCTCAGAACTCCCTCTTACAGGACTGGCCTGACCCAGTTCCCCCAAAGAAGAAAAAGAGAGCAGGTTTGAATGGGGTTGTAAACAGCTGTAGGTAATTTCTGCCTTTCAAATTCACTCTCAGGGTTAAAATAAAAAGTACGTTTGATTTGCACATTATAATGGAAATGGAATTTTGTCTTGTTTTGTTTTTTTTAAGACAAGGTTTCTCTATGTAGCCTTGGCTATCCCAAAACTAGCTCTGTAGACCAGGCTGGCCTTGAACTCACAGGGCTCTGCCTGCCTCTGCCTCATAAATACCGGGATTAAAGGTGTGCGCCACCACCACCCAGCACAGAAGTGGAATGTTAAAGAACATGAACAAGAAGAGAAAATATTCCAAAGCCATCAGCCAATACTAGCTACTATGTAAGATCCTTAATTTTAGCTGTGAGCTTCCTGGCAGGCTGACCAAAAAGGGCAATGACATGAATCACGCTCGGTTGGGAGCCTGCATGTGCTGTGATACTCCAGACCAAGCTTTCTGGTCTTTTTGGTTCACTCAGACCACTAGACCTCAAGTCCTAACTTCTGGTTTGGAAAATGTGCCTGGATGAGCAAAGAATGGGGATCAGAGCTGTGGACACAAGCAGAGTAAGGATGAGGGCTGCTCAGCAGAAAGCAGGAAGAATTGACAGCCCCCACAGTGCCATGAAAGCAGTAAGTGCACAGGACAGTGCGAGCAGAGAGGGGTTAAGACCTCAACAACTCAAGGGCGGGCAGGGCCAGGCCAGTAGCTGCTGAGCAGTTCAGAAATCTATTTTCCTAAGCCCTTGGCCTGAAACCTCAAGTGTATTTTCCCTAGGTTTTATTTTTTTCTTTGACCCCAAACTCTGGTAAATTTAAGGGAAATTTAATTATGGTGTTTTGGGTCCATTTACACTTAAACCCTCTCAGCATTTTTTCCAGGACCCCTTTGCAGTTCAGCACGCCTTGGGAGCCTTCTAAATGAATGTTTTATTTTTTTTTAAAAGGCCGTTTGCTCCCCCATCCTACCCCCTTAGGACTAGCCTTCCTGCCAAGAATAAACAAGTCCTAACTCTGCAGGCTCCGGCAGAACTAGGAATCTAGGCCCCAGGGCCCAGCAGCCCTGGCCACACCCTCCTCCTTCACCCCAGTGGGTCTTTATTGCACCCTTCCTCTCGGTCCACTGGCCCCTCTTGGCATCACCTATGGCAGTTCTACTCTGTCCCCCCTCTGCTGGTTGGCCCTTGCACCCATCCATCATCCATATGTGACCCTCAACCAAGCATCCAGCTACAGTGTCTTGAGTTTAGAAGTTTAGAGTACTGTGTGTGTGTGTGTATGTGTGTGTGTATGTGTGTGTGTTCTTGGGCTGGACAATCCAGGTCCTGTGTGGTCAGGAGAATGTGAAGTTGGTAGTCTCGGTAACAGCTGACAGAAGCCTCGTGGCAGCCCCATTTGACAGATGGCAAATAAGGAGGTAC